CCGGTGGCGGTGCACCCACTGGGAAGTCCCGCTTTCCCCGGAACATCAGCTCCCTGGCAGTGGAGGCGCTGGCAGTGGCCTCTGCGATGGCCTCCTCCTCGACTGCTGGTGTGCAGCTTGTCATGATGGATGCGGGCACCTCGCATGCCGCCCCGTCCCAGCCTCCAGCGGAGCCGGTTGCCCCAGAGAAGCCGGCAGAGACCGTCCAGGCTGATGCAGCCGCTGGGTCCGGGCCTGCTAGAGAGGAGGCTCCGGTGGTGACGCCAGTCGTGGCGACTGTCGCTCAGCAGCCTGCTGCGGTTGCGTCGACCAGTTGGGCTGACGAGGTAGAGGCTGAGGAGGTTACCGCGGTCACCGTTACCCCTGCTGCTACGGTTGCAGCGGTTGCAGTTGCTGCGTCGACCACCGCAGGTGAGTCGGTTTCCAGGCGTGGCTTAGGACGTCGTGTTGTAGCATGCGCTCCGACAGAGCAGGTAGCCGCGGCGGTGTAAAGGATTTGCGTTTATGCGCTCAGCGTCTTGAATTGCCCTGGGTTGGCTTGTTTCTTTTCTAGTATTCTAGTCTGTACACGTCTCCACTCTACTAGATGCCTGTTAATGCTCACGCACAAACACCCCTTTTGTTACTTATTCCCTTGCCGTCAATGCACGCCTCAGAGCCGCCTGTGCCGACATCGACGCCGCCCCTCCCGCGTGTCACGAGCTGGGCCACCATCGTCAAGCGCAACACCCTAGGCGGCTTGCCGGAGGACTCCACCCCGCCCTCGGCAGCACTGTCGCGCCAGAGCAGCTTTGGTCGGCGCTCTATTGGCGGCAACACGGACGCTGGCTTCTCAACGTACGCGCGCAGCGTCGGAGGCAGCGCGCGGCCTCGTCCTCCTCCTTCCGTCGCTGCTACCTCCACCGCAGATGAGCCCCAGTCGTCTGGCGCTGCCGCCACCGGCCCATCTACCAACACAGCGGCGCCTGCTGCGGCTCCTAGCGGTGAGGCGGCGGGTGCCGCCGCTGGCGGCGAGGACGCGGGTGGTGCTTGGGTTGAGGCCAGCAGGCGGCGGAAGCGGCACAGCAGCGTTGACAGCCGGTACTCGGCGGTTGATAGCCGGTACTCGAAGAGCAACGGCGGGCGGGGCAAGGGCGCCGGGCATAACAACAAGCGTGAGGGTCGGCCAGCCAACAAGCGCCGGCATTAGGAGGCCGGCTTAACTCCGCCGATAGTTTGCGCCAAGCTTCGGTGTGTGCAAGTCGGTGATGGCGTCTGATTTGCGAACGGGAGAGTATATGTAATATGTTTAAGTATGGAGAGTTGGAGACCCGAGGCGCGCATCATGATGCGACCTGTAGCTGACGTGATTCTTAATTCAGGTTCATAAGGGTACAACGACTTCCGTGACTTGTGATTGGAATTTGTGTCATAGGGGTATTCAGAGGGCACGAGCCAGCAGCCTTCCGAAAGAGCGGCGGTTAGGAGCGTACGTGATCCTCCTAACCTGCCCGACTAACCGCCCGCATCGATCTTGTCGGTTTCCCCTATCCTAATCTGTGGTTTCGTGTTCTTTGTTGTTCATATGTGCTCGACCTGTAGCATGTGGTATGCGGGACTTATCATGACTTTGCCGGACTGAGCGTTCATATTCAATAGCACCTTGCTCGCCTTGCTTTCCTTGCCGTCGTCATTCCGAAACCCCCTGCTGACTGATACCACTTGCCTTGACACAAAGCAATCGTTGGTGGACACAAGTTGGAGTTGCCAGGGTGGGGCGGGGGATGTGCCATTTATGGTATTAGCGTTTAGCTTACGGTTTGGATGATCCACTTACTAAGTGCATGGCTTACCAAGTGACCTTTGCAGCTGTACCTTGATGGGTCCCGACTAGAGCGTGTTGTGGTGCGCTCTGTTTCCCTATGCGGTTAATGCACCGTGTCTGTTTTTTCGGAATGCACAACCATTCGTTGTGCCGCTTGGCAGCCCGCATGTTCTTGTGCACGCTTCTCACAGGAAACCCTTGTAAGTATTAACGCATAAAGCTTGATACCGCCCCTACTCGCCGGTGCCTGGCCGCTGACTCCTCACGGACGGCTACAATGGGGGCAGCACCCCTACCTCCCCTTTAGCATTGCATTCCGGATCCGACTAAGCACTAGGCACACGGGGTAAACCGTGTGCTGCCCTCGAATATGCACGTCCTGGGTGCAAGGATAGGTCCGGTGCTGTTTGAAGAGCACCCGAAGTATGCGGGCGCGAGGGGCAGGTACGTCTTGTTCGCGCTATACACAGCCGTACGGAAAAGTATTGCTCTAGCTTTAGATTTAGGCAACATAACTGAGGACAGTAATCTGCGTTATCATCTTATACCTTCCTTTACCTGTCAGCAAAGAGCTTGTATCATACCGGTACCTGCGGAGTAATGCAATGTTTGTGCATCTTGGGGGTGACGAGAACTCCAAGCCTACTTACTTTGAAGTAATTGCAGCGGATCGATTGGTTCCTAGCTTAAAAGCGGCGGTCGTCTACGCGCTATCGGTACGTTAACACGGCATTGCGAGCATGGAACAAAGTAGCTCGGGCTTGTACTTGCTTACGACAGTCATCTTACACTTTATATCTAACTTATGGGACCGCGATAAGCGCAGGTCTTTTCCCAGCGGCACCCATGGGTCCATCGACTGCTCAACTACGACGATGAGGTCTTTGCTCTCTTAACACTCTTCCTAGATGGCCACTCTTTGCTTGCCTCGGATAGCACCTTCGCAGACAGCCTGTATGGCCTCAAGCGCAAGCCGCTGCGGCCAGGCGCAAGCCCTGTCGAGCGGCTAACGCGCCGGCAGCGCTGGCTCATCCTGGCCTGCCAGGTGCTGCTGCCGTACCTTCGGGCCAAGGCGGATAAGGCCTACCGGCGATCCTCCGCAAGCTCGGGCATTCTAGGTCTCGCAATTCAGTATGGAGCCTCTCAGGTATGCTGCCGCGCAGGGCAGGTCTAGCTGCGACGGGGTTGGAGGAGGGGGCGTAACCGTGCGCCCCCACCACGCGACAAGGCAACTTAGCGAGGCCTCTGGAATGAACCCTAACCGACCTTGCCCTGATGTGCTGCTGTTGATTCAACAAGCCAGCTAGGGCGCAGGGATTCGCCTTCCTTCCCATGCCGCCGCATGTTGCGTCACCGCCGCCTTCTGGCGCCAGTTGCCTCTGCTTTCCTCAACCAACACAGCCCATCTGGTGTCCCTCCTCCAGGACCCCTCCAGCCCGGATCCAAGCAGCCCCAGGGCCCCGGCAGTCAGCAGCAGCTGGCGGGGCCAGCTGCGCGGGGCCCTGCTGGCCGCCTACCCCTGGCTGCATGCGACCGTGGAGGTGAGGGCCGCCCCGCTGCAGAGGGGGACTGCGCGGGTTTGCTAGGTCCACAGGGTGAACCTGCGCTGAAGCTCCTGTGTATGTCCGCGGGAGATGGTACAGGGTACCGTATCATCACCTTCGTACCGTAGCTCTTCAGTTCTGCTGGCTGGCTGTAGTTGCTGTCTCCATTACATGCGGCCCTCTTACCATCCTCCCTTTTCCTCCTCCTCCTCCTCATCCGCCTCCTCCTCCTGCTTCTTCTTTTCGATGTCGACTTCATTGTACGGCACCGGTACAGGGTGTCACGTTCGCCTACCACCTGTCGTACCTGCTAGGGGCAAGCCCCGTACACCACCCTGTCCAGCACGTAAGTAGCAGATATAACAGGTAATGGGAAGTTAAGTGAAGGAACGGGCCAACGGAAGAACCATGCCATGATCGATACAAAATGATGAGAGCGACGGTCCGCGATGGTGGTACGGCGATGACCTTTGAGCTCTCCTTACGATTAAAGAATGGCCAACGCGTGTTGCCTTGGAATCCCTCGGAGATCGAAGGCTGGGCTTATGCGCGTAAGTAAATAAGGAGTCCCACTAACGTAGGCTGCTTGCTGCCTGTTACCCACTGCTACACGCCGTGACGTGTGTTCTGACTGGCGTCGGCGGTTCGACTGCATGCCCGCGCAGGCGATCGGAGTCAGCATGGCTCGGACGTCGGCGCAGGATATGGTGGGTTGGGTGCTTGGGTGCTTGGAGGGAAAGGGCCCAAAAGGGAAACGTACAACAGGTTGCACAGTCGCCGTGGCACCTGTACAAGCGGACGGGCGGTTCGGCATCATTGTTCCCCCTGCTGCCTTTTCCGGCTGCATGACGGCCGGGCTGTGCAGCGACAGCATCGGAGCACCGCATTACCTTCCTCGCGTTCCTTCCTTCCTATTGTCTCTCCCCCCCTGCCTCGCCCCGTTATGCCTTACAGATGGCCGCTGAGCGGGAGAAGCAAGAGAGGCGCCGAGCACTGCTGACAGCCTGGCTGGGACCGCAACTCGCCTACCGGCAACAGCCGCAGCCGCCGTCGCAGCCATCCTTACCTTCGTCAACCCCCCTTCCGGGAGTCTCCGGCCTAACAGCTGCGGCGGGCGCTGCTGCCGGTGGTGCTGCCGCTGCTGCTGCCGGCCGCAGTGCTCCTGCTGCTGCCGCTGCTGCTGCCGCCGGTGCAGCTGCTGCTGCTTCCAGCCCCAGCCTGGCCTCCTGGCTGCGCTGGGCCGCAGTCCGCGGTGTGCTGGGCTGCAGGTGGCTGCTGGAGGACCACGCGAGGACCGCCCTGGTGCTGGCAGTGTTTGGGTTCAAGGTGGGGCGCGGTGCGGGGCAGGACAGGGTTAAGGGGGGTGCAGGAGGGTGAAGGAGGGTGAGGTGCTGTGCACGGTACGGCACTGTACATGGCCCCAGGGGTTGCTTGCAGGCAGGCTGCGTAGGAGCAAAGGCGTGCGTCCTACAGCATGACCGCCTGGGCTCAACCGCACCGCCCTCCACGAGCCTTGCCGCCCTTCATGCAGCCGACCCACTGCTCCTTGGCCTGCTTCTATGCTTCTCATCACACCCCCTGCTTCACTCTCTTCCCTGACCCTGCTGCATCCCTACTCCACAACCCTCCTCTTCCTCCTCGCGGCCCCGCAGGCTCTGGAGTGGTGGTACACCACCGCAGAGGACGCGCTAGCTCGCGGCAAGGCGCTGGCGCCGCCCCCCCCGCCGCCCCCGCCTCGGCCGGTGCCCCCGCCCGCGGGTGTGGGCCTCCCGCCCGACCCCTCGGACTGCCCGGTGTGCAGGTGAGGGTGTGGGAAGAAGAGCGCGGGTTGCGTGAGGGGCAGTACACGGCTTGAGGGTTCGGTGTGCGGGGTTTGCGGTGCTGGGTGCAGGCCAGGGGAAGCCAGCACTAGGGTGGGTTGGGTGTGGCATGCCGAGAGATGGGTTGTGCAAGACGCAGACCTAGTTAGGACCCAGGTTCAAGACGTAAGTATTATTGTGTAGACCACCAAGGCCCTGCCCTCCTTCACGGAGCGGGTGGCGGCATTGGAGGCTGTACCGATCCTGGGAGGCCATACACCGTACGGGGCACCAGGCCGTGCGGCGGCACCAGCAGCAGGCAGACAGCGAGGCGGCCGTCTGCAGTCGCGGCAAGTCCTTCGTGGAGCACTTCACCAACCAGGCGCACGGCACCTACTGCCTGCCTGTCCAGCACTGCGCGTTGTTCCGCCTCGGCGAGCCGGACTGCTTTGAGTCGCACCGGTACGCTCCGCACGACGCTGGGCTGATTGGAAACGTCCTCCTCAATGGGCGAGGGGAGTTTGATACCGGTGAGATTATAATCCCACCGGTATCAAACTTCCCTTGCCCGTTCAGGAGGAAGTTGCCGAAGAGGCCGGTGTCGTGCGGAGCGTACCGGTGCGACTCAAAGCAGTCCGGCTCGCCGAGGCGGAACAACGCGCAGTGCTGGACAGGCAGGCAGTAGGTGCCGTGCGCCTGGTTGGTGAAGTGCTCCACGAAGGACTTGCCGCGACTGCAGACGGCCGCCTCGCTGTCTGCCTGCTGCTGGTGCCGCCGCACGGCCTGGTGCCCCGTACGGTGTATGGCCTCCCGCTCGCCAACGGGCGGGCCCTTGTCGGTTTGAACGTCTTGACATACACCTTGCATGCCTAACTCGAAAAGGACCTGGAGGCTTGCTTCCAGCCTGCTGCTTCACGAACGACACCGCTCGGATGCTGCCTCCTGCGGCCCCGACCACTCTACAGCCCATCACCTCCTTTCCCCCTTCTCTCCCCCTCCTTCCCCCGCTCTCCTGCCCAGGCACCGCACCACCAACCCCGCCACCATCGCCACCTCCGGCTACGTCTTCTGCTACCCCTGCGCGCTGGGCGCTGTGATGCAGCACGGCCGCTGCCCCGTGTCACACCTGCCCGCCTCGCTCGACCACATACGCAAGCTGTATGAGGCGTCGTAGGGGGCTGCGGTGAGAAGGAAGAAACCGAGAAGTCCGCATGCCTGAAGCCCACAACCCAGGAAGTGCTGAGTGGGTGGGGTAGGCATGTGGGTGAAAGAAGAATACCCAGGTGTGTTTGCGGACAATGGCAAACGAGGTGACAAGCCCTGGGGGAATTGATTTGAGGCATGTGGGTGGGAGGCGGGTTGAAGGCGGTGGCAATTAGCGTGGAGGCTCACTGGAGATTACCGTACATGAGTGCGAGGGGTGGGGTACAGGACAACAGGAGTAAAGAGTGTGCGAGTCGGAGGAGGGTGCTTTGCTGTGAATGTCGCTTGTGGTGCTGCCGCCTCGGCTAAAGCCGTCGCGCGCCAGTATTAAGGTGGAACTTGGCAATGTATCGCAGCGCTCTCAAGACGCATTCCCTATGCCGCGTGCAGTGTTTGTTGCGCGCTGCTATCGTGACTTTGGAAGGCTGGAAGGGACTTGACGCTGACGCTGCATAGTCAAAATGGCTTTGCCTAGAGGGACGTAGGGAGGCATGGTTCAGGAACTTTGGGTCTTGCTGAAGTCCTTCAGCACTTCTGCGTTAATGGGCTTAGGGGGAATTGATGGTTTGTGAGTAGTGAAGTTCTTGCGGTCTGGCCAACATTGCCAGCGGCGGGAAGAGAACCTGCGCTGCATAGCGGTTCATGAGATTATCGCCTGACATTACCGGTATGTGACTGATTATCCTGGCGTGTTGTTGCAGCGTGGCAAGCAGCAACCGGTAAAGGGCCGCATGAACGCAGTCGCAGCCATGCGCGCCAGATTCACTGGGTGTTGCCGTACGGCCAAAATTGGCTTTAGGCGAGATTACAGGCCTACCTTCGTTCGGACTCCACTGTAATAATTGTATGCCTTAGAATTATGCCATCAGTTTACTGCGCGACCATTAAATAGTTAGTGGGCGCAAGGCAAGGTATTGGCAGATGACCCTTACCCGCCGTTGGCCGTCTGCTTTTCTGCTGTTGATACTAGGTTTAGTAGGTCCGCCTAGCGTTAATACTCAAAGGATAAACACACCTCAGGAGCCTGACATAGTGTCAAAGGACGAGGGCTCTGGTGTTTCCTCGCTGCCAGGACTTCTCGTGAACCAGCACCTTTATGTTCACGGGTGGGTGTTTTGAAATAGGGATTACAACCGATCATGCAGGAACTCGCGGCTTATTGCCATATTGTGTAACTTATATGTAAAGCGACGGAGCCCATAGTGATTCAAATCTGCTTTTTACAGCGCATATATTGTGATCATGTTGCAGGGACGTCGTTTGGGGGCCTGCTCTGTTTTCGTATGGGGCACGCGGAGCAAGCAAGGCGCCCGGCTCGAGGATAGACGGGAGCAGTCGCAGACATTATAATTTAGCAGCAGGCAGACAGCTTCAAGGCGAAGAGGATGAAGATCTGCAACCTCTTGCGGCGCCCATGCCATCGGCGTCAGGGTCGGCGAGCGAAACAATGGGGCCCTCAGCCGCAGCCAACGACCCACGGGTCATTACGGCCACGCTGGCGGCAACCATAACTTGCGGCGGCGCCGTCGTGGCAAGGGTAAGAAAGGCACAAGCCGTCAAACATAGCCGGTGACGCAGGCATTCCTTCTGCAGTCTCGCCGCCTGGATCCGCACTCTGGATGCGCTTGTTTGACCTTCATTTATCATAGCCATTATGAATGCGCGGTGATACGAACTTCTCACCATTCCGTGCAGGCGAGGGATCGAATCCAGATCTCGGAGGATCTCCTCAAGGCGGCGCAGGCTGCTCCTGGTATGTACGACATCCCACATGCTCCGTACGGGGGTACGACAGAGGCACCGGCAGGAAGAGTGGCCAATGCCGCACCCAGCTCGGCGAGTAGCCCTGACGTGGGCTCTGGAGGCCCCGGCGAGGGATCCTTAATGGGCGACGACGGTGCGGCTAGCGCCCGCGAGCCAAGGCTTCCATTCTCTTTCCTTTTCAGCCTGCCGTTCTCAACCCCGCAACCCAAGGCAACGTCCAGTGGCAGCGACAACGGCAGCGGCGCCGCCAGCAGCGGCGTTCCAGCGGGCGCTTCCGCTGCCTCCGCCAGCAGCCCCAGCACACCACCCGTTGGGCCTGACGGCGCGGCCCTCCAAGGTGCGCCGCCGATCTGCTCCTTTGGTACCCGGTACTTAATAGCTGACGAGGACGGCTCAGAAGCCTTCATGTCACCATCCACGTCCGCATCCTCGTCCTCGAATGCCATGGAGGAAGGAGGTCCCTCCCAGCAGCAGCAGCACCCGCAGCACCCGCACGGCCTGCCGCCGCCGCCGCCGCCGTCGCAGCAGCACCGGCACCGGCGGTCCCTGTCGCCCGGTCCCTACCGCGTCATGGTGCGGCTGCAAGTGCCGCTGCCGGACGGCCAGCTCGCTACCTTTGTGGCGCATGGGGATACCTCGGCCGGCTATGCTCCCGAACTCACCTTGGACGCCTCCTCGCTCAACCTAGCCGTGTTGATCCCGCCACCGCCGCCACCAACACCGCGACAACAGCGTTCGACTGCTCCACTTGCCCCGCCAAGGCCCGAGCATTTACCTGCATCTGGGTCGGTGGCAGATAGGATTCACGACGCAGGAGAGCTAATGGCAGTGCCGAGCGGTGTAAAGGAGCGGCACTCGCCAACAGGACTGACCCATGGGTCATCCAGCCAGCCAGCAGTTCCGCCGGCGGTGCAGCCGTTTGAGCAGCACGCTAATGCGGCACTTCAACACTGGCTTCAGCTGCAGGGCGGTACGGCAGGTGTACGGTACGACGTCCATGGCAGCGGGGTGCCCCGAACGGGTCAGTTGGACGAGGCACCGGTCCACATGGCCGTGTGTCGTAGCGGCAAGGTCAGGGGCCTCATGTCAGCCCCATCATGGCTTGGTTTTGAGCAGGAGGACTGCTGCCCAGCGTTTCACATATCGCTGCGGACGCAGTCGCTAGCGCAGGGGCTGCCGGTGGCGGCGGCGACGGCGACGGCGACGGCGGCGACGGCTGCGGCGGCTGCGGTACGTCCTGGAGCGTCCGCGGCTTCGGCGCAACCAGCGGCAACCAACCTGGGGGCACAGACGACGCGGAAGGGAGCCTCACAGGGCCCTTCGAGTGAGTGGGGCTTGGGCATGCTGCCGGCTCCTTGCTTGCGAGGCGCCGAATCCGCCGTGTTCTTTGTTCGTCGGCGCGTTTGTTGCTACATTTCTGACTGTGCAATGCAGGGGGTGGTGTTCAGGGCAAACCGCCGCGAACAACGCCGTCGCCTGTGAAACCTACCAGCGGAGGGTTGCTGTTGGGACTTGGCTGCGGGTCTTTGCTTGGCAGCCTGATCACGGCAGTTGTAATGGCGGCGATGGCTCGGCACCGCCAGGCGACGGCGCCTGAGGGCGTCATAGGTGCCACCGACGTCGACGTCGCATACAACCAAGCCGGCGGTGGATACGCCGGGTGCGGGTACGCCGGCGGCGTTGACGGAGGCGACCCACGGGTCTACGGGTACGGCGCACCCGAGGGGACCGCAGCGTACGGCGACGGCGGCGGCGGTGCTGGCGATGCTGGCGGCGTCGGATACAGTAACTGGAACGGCGGCGGAGAGGGAAACAGCGGTGGCGGCGGCAATGGCGGTCCTTCCTTGCTTCAACGCGCAGCATCGGGCTTGGCGAAGGCACTCCGGACGCCCATGCGGCGGGAGCCGTACGGCGGCAGCATACCTGAGGATGACGTGTACGGCGGTTACGAGGCTGGCGTGGGTGGGAACAACGCGGAGATGGCTGGGTTGCTGGAGGGGTCTGGAGAGGCGCGGGGGATGGTGGGCGAGAGCGGTTCCGGTAGAGCCCGAGGGAAGGGGCGCTGGCGGGGCGGTTTCAACGAGGACGCGGACGGCGGCGGCGGCGGGAACGAGGGCAATGGCGGCGGCGGCGTCAGCGGCTTGGTGGGATCCACCCTGGCTCAGCTGTCACCTAGCGTGCTCAAGCTGCTAGCTGCTGGTGAGGAGCCAGCAGGGGCTCGGGTTGGGGCACCGGTACCGCAAAAACCGCAAGAGTCTTGGGAAAGCACGGGATGCAGCCTTAAGCATGCCGCCCTGCAAGATGTGTCTAGTCTAGTCTACCAGTATCGTTCTTAGCCTTGACCTGTTGGGGCCGCATGCTCACACGTTGCACTCGCAATGCATGGTGCTTCCCCCCTCCGTGTGCCACTGCAGGCCGCGGAGCCGGCGGCGCCTGGGGTCGCGACGAGGACGGCCGCTTGCGTCGCTTCAGCGCCCGCACCACCCGCATCCTCAACAGCATCCTCACAACCAACGCAGCAACAGCGGCGGCAGGCGGCGGCGGCGGCCCCAACCCGCTGCCGCCGCCGCCGTCTGGACAGCGGCGGCTGCAGCAGCCAGCGGGCGGCGGCGGCGAGGGCTCAGAGGCTGCGGCGGCATTGGCTGGCCATGTGCCCGCCTTCTCTCCTGCCCTGGAGCCTCAACTGCAGCTGTGAGCGCCGGTGGTAGTACGGCAGTACGGCAGCTATGGGGCTGAGAGGAGTGGCAAGGCTTGGTGGTAGCAGAGTACTGGAGGTGCTGCACTAGAGTTGTGCGGACGTGCGCGCTTGATGATTGGGTGGTGGTGGTGCTGCTTGGTGGTAGTGCTGTGGGGTGGGAATATGTTTGCATGGCGAACATGTGGAGGTCAGCGTTGGGAAGGGTCGCCAGAAGCCAAATGCCCTGCGCGTAAAGGTGTTCGGCTAGCTTGCATGCTCCAAGCGAATGACCCATAGCCAAGGTTAATGTGCGCGCGGAGAGAGGCGGGCGTGCAATGCGCACGACATATCAGTCGTCGGTGTAGGTAGCGCCTTTCAACATAGTCAGAAAATAGGATCGTGACGTTGTTTAGGCGTATGTAATGACGTGCGGGAGATGTGTGCAACAATTACTAGCTTCGCATTGTGGGTTAGGATAGACAGATAGGAGCAGGGTGGAAGCAACGATACATGCCTGGGAACAGGACATGTTAGGCTGTATAGTCGGTAGCAGGATGGCGATGCAGGATGCGGGAGGCCACCACCAGCAGTACGTGGACAGTACCGGAAGGGTGGTTGAAGTCGGGAGGTTGGATTAGGGTGGTTGAAGCAGGGTGGTTGAAGTAGGGTGGGATGCGGCGAAGCAGGCAGCAGGCGGTCATGGATGGGCACGTGTGGAAGGCCAGCCGGATGGCGCCCAAGCTTACATGCGACGCAGTGTTGGCAACTATAAGGCCATCAGACAACGCATGTAAGCTTGCAACGCAGGCGCTACCAACGCAGGCGCTACCCCAGATTCTTCTACATGTCTGCTTTAGGCCTCTGGTTGTACGTAGCGTCGCCCTTCTTCACAACCGCCAGCACAAGTGTTTGGCACCCAATTCACATCACAACATATCAGTCTTGGAACTTGCCAAACGCTCCTCTCTGAACCAACCCGAGGCCACGCCAATGTCGCCAAACCCTCGTCATACTGCCTCTTTCACACCTCTCCTACCCCTATGCATGTAACGTCACTCACCACACGTGATCCACCCAACCGCTCACCCTTCTTCTCACCCTTGCTGCGTATTCCCTGCCTCCGCTACCTCCCTCGCAGCGCACAGCATAGCATCCGGATCCGCCACAAACCCGATCTCACTCTCCACATGCATCCAGGCCACACTCCCCTCCCCTCCGTCACCCCCTCCGCTGCGCCGGATAATCATGGCCCCGCCCATAATCAGCCCCTCCCCCCTAACGTTATGCTCCTTGACGTTCTTCGAGGCTGCACGGATGCGTTGCCACACGCTGCCCCAGGGGTTCAGCAGCCCCAGCACGCTGCCTCGGAGGGGCGTGCCGCCGTTGAGGGCGGCGTAGAAGGACTTGGAGGTGTCGTGGTAGAGGGGCCCCGGCCAGAAGGCGGGGCTGAAGGCCTCGATCTGCAGCGGGGTTCGGGGCATCGGGGGGGCGACCGGGTGTGCTGCGGGTTGGGACGAATCCGCCGCGGGTAACTGTCCAGGGCCAGGGTTTGGGGTCCTGTGGAGGACTCGCCAGGGAGTGACGATGGCACCATCCCTGCTGTGGCGTGCAAGGTGTGGCGGAAGCGTGCTCGGGCTCTGGGGTTCCATGCGTTCATGCACCGCAGCTCACACGCACCGCAGTCCAGCTACCACTCTGGCAACCCCGCCCGCCGCCCGCGCCTCACCTCCCTGGGGATCCACTCGTGCACCACACACGCCAGCCCCACTCCCAGCTGGTCAAACTCGGCCTTGCGCGCCCACAGCTTCTGCGCCTCGTCACGACACAGCACTGCAACGTGAGGGGTCGGGGCGGGGCGGAGTGCGGTTTGTTTGGGCAACCCAAGGCAGGGCAAAGGCGTGCGCAGGGCTTTAAAGTGTGTGTTGCCACAAGCCCACGAGGCAAACTACCGGTGTCAGATTGAAACCAATTAATGAGGTCCATGCCGTCATCAGGCTATCGGTAGCGCAGCGGTAAGTGCCCATGCCGTCCGTCACTGCAAAACCGACGACGACCATACGCCTACCGCATCCTGGGCGTCGCAAGATTAGCACCGCGAGCGGCTGGGACTGCCATAGAGTGTTGGCGAGCACCTCAGCGCCCTCCTTCGTCCGGAGCACAGCGCCAGCGATTGTGGAAATCGCTGGTAGGGCTTTGCTTGCAGCCATGGCAGACCGCCTAGGCCAAGGAAGGCAGTCGCTACCAAAAGAGTGGCGCTGGTGCTGCGAATACACCTACCTGTGGCTACAATTTGCGTTCGTGCGACGCTTCCGTTGGGCGAAAACCTGGGAGGAATCCTAAATATATTGTAGGTACTTAATAAGGTTATCGCATATAACGTCAAACATATCTGCAGGTCCTGGTGGTGTGGATTGGCTCATATGTTTGGCTGAAACAAAGGGTTCGGAGCGGAAACAGTTGACCGAAGCAGTCGTTTGTAAGCATGTTTGCTGCCGACTTCGGCACACAAAGCTTCTAATGGAATTAACTTGCACCAATTGTCCTCACGCTGCCTCTATTCGGGCTATCTTCCCGACAAACTGTTGCAATTGCTCAAGTCACACCTATCTGCTCTCTCAAATTGAGACCGCTGTAAGTTCAAGACCAACACCTTCAGCTCATATGCAACTAGCGTAGCTCCCGATCAACTAAGATGGACGAGGGGGAGGCAAGCGCGCTGCCGCAGAGGCACAATGCCCGACGACGAATGCGACAGCAGCAGCAGGAGAGGGCGGAGGAGCCAGACGAGGCTGGCACTTCATATGGCGCACACGCACCCAACGCCGGTGCTGGTGGCAGTCAGGGCGGCCCGGCGGACGTCAAAGGGCCATCGTACGGCGGTGACGAGGACAAGGACGATGAAGGTGGCAGTGGTGGTTTCGGTAACCCTGACGAGTATGGCTTTAAAGGAGCAGGTTGCGAGGCAGCATACGTTCAGGGAGGCGGGACGGACGACGGCGACGGCGATGGTGAGGAGCAGCGGCGGCGGCGTCCCAGGTCTGATGATGGCGACCTACCCGCCTATCGCTCTGCAGCCGTAGGAAACTTCAAGTTTGAGTGTAAGTAATGTTCGCATGGGGGGGCGGCGTAGGCAGCGTGGGTGGGTAAGTACGCTGGTCGGGCGGTAAGTGCCTGCCCAGTCAGCGGAGGCAAGAGAAGGGTAATTTACTGAAGCTCCATGGCATCTGCTTAACTGCTGTCCTGCGTAATGCGCATGAAGCCAAGTGCAGCTCCATAACGACTGACGTATGTGTTCTTGCGTTGCCGCGCCGTTCCGTTGTGCACACTCAGTTTCCGCAGCATGCCTGGTTTTGCCCATTCGCCGCCCGGTTCTCCCTCTTTGCACACCTCTTGGGCAGCTTTCAACTTTGTGTGACTGAGGGAGTTGCACGGCGCTGCCATTACCCTTTCCTGACAGATCTGGATCACACGGCGGATGTGCAGCTGCACGCATGTAAGCCGTGTATGGCGTTGGGGCGCGAGTTGTCTCATACGGCGAGGCTTGCAGACCGCTGGAAGAAAAGTTGTCTGCACGTTTGTCAATAGAGCAATGTGATCAAGCTTCCACAGCACAGTGACGCACGCTATCTCTTCAACCGCACCTTCCGATGCTGCGTCTCAGGGGGCGCTGACCTGAAGGAGGCGTTCGAGCAGTGCGCCCTGGCCATGTTTAACTACATGTCGCCAATAAAGCATGTACGGCTGCAGGAGAGCAGGTGCGCTGCCGTACCCGTAGCTGCTCATGTGCACAAAGGCACGGCGACGGAGATGTCTTCGTGCTGATACACCCATGTCAACCGTCATACCAAGACCAGTATGCGTATGAGTGAGCGGCAAATGCAGCTTCGAGTACCGTACCCACATTGGTCAACCCAACCCACCCGCGCAGGACGTACCGCATGGAGGGTCACGACCTGCCCTCCCTGCTGTACGCCTTCCTGGACGAGCTGCTGTTCGTGTTCGCCACGGAGCTGTTCCTGGCTGCCTCCGTGCGCATCACGTCCTTCGACCGGGAGTCCTTCGTCATCGAGGCAGAGGGGTGCGTACCGCAGTACAAGGTTGTTACAGCGGTACAACGTGCTTGCTGTACCGATATCTACTTATCTGCAGAAAAGGCATGGGTGCCTGGCATGCGCAGGCAATGGAGCTGGTGTGAAAGACGTGGCCTTCCTTAACCACTGCATGTGGGTATGTCCCCCAACCCTGTAGGTTTGGGGAGACCTTTGACCGCACCGTACACGAGGTTGGGACGGAGATCAAGGCGATCACGTACAGCGCTATGTCAATCGGAGAGCGAGAGGGAGATGCAGAGATCTTCGTCATTGTGGACATCTAGGCAGCCACCTGGCTGTGACACCTAATGCTGTGGTGTTAATGTAGATGGCGTCTTTTGTTAATGCAAGCCATGTTTCATCCTCAAGCGAAAATGGCAAGCGTGTGCAGGGTTGCCACAATGGCGTGCGGATTAGCACGAACTGTAAATGATGATTCATGACCATCTAGTCGGTTCCACAGTGTTATGCTGTACAGCCTGTACATATTTCTGGCTGGTGATACCTCTTGCGCAACTTGTTGACAATGTGCATACTTGCAATTTTGACCATGTGCGAAAAGGACACACAAAATGGTTGGCTAGGCATTACAGAGTCGACAGCTGAAGCTACTCCAAGTCATGTTCCGTCATTTAGTCAAGTCCTGTATTATATGCCATCTACAAACTACGTCAAGTCAGCGGGCGGCCGGCAGCTCGCGCGCATCAGCGGTACAGACCTGCCAATGCGGAGTAGCATATGCACATGCAACGCCAAGAGCATACCCTACTTTTGAAGTAACATCACTGCCGCCCCACAGCCTAAGTAAACATACCTCCTCTCAAGTCGCAAACCTACGCCTTCACCAGCAAAACTAGAGGCCTGAGTCAAAACCATCAGAAACCCCACCAACACTCTTGGGACCTTACGAGAACCAACGATACATCACATCACTCGTCGCCACCGCCGCAACTACAGTCGCAGCTAGGCGCCCAAGCTAGTGGTGCATTTACTTGTGGGTGACGGACACCACCTTGCCGAGCATGACGGCGGTGTTGCCGTCCAGGAAGGCAATGCGGGACAGACCCTCGCAGTTCTTGAACGAGTCCACAATCAGGGGCTGGGTGGGCTCGAAGACGACCTGGGCCATCTCGTTGGCCTTCAGGCCGACGGGGGCCTCCATCTTCTTGCCGCCGGTCTCCTTGCCGACCTTCCAGTCGATGTTGGAGATGCGGCAGGCGGAGCGGCCGCAGCGCACGAAGCCGATGGGGGAGTAGCCCTTCTTGACCTCGCCGGGGATATCCAGGGTCTGGATCTGGGCGGTGAAGTCCTTCACGATCTTCAGGGATCCGTCGGACTTCAGGATCATCACATCGCCGGTGCGGGGCATGTTGCCCTTGTCCAGACCCTGTGGATGGCAGATGTGGACGGAGGTATTGATTAGGGAAAGTGGTCTACAGCAGCAGCAACAAAGCTTAACGTTTAACAAGCCAGCTAAAAGCACAAACTGCCCAGCCACCCACCTTGATGTTCATGCCGACGTTGTCGCCGGGGCCGGCCTTGTCCACACGCTTGTGGTGCATCTCCACGGTGAACACCTTGCCGGTGCAGGGGTTGGCGGTGGTGTGGGTGGGCAGGAAGATCACCTCATCACCGGGCTTGACAACACCCTGCTCGACACGGCCGGCCAGCACATCACCGACACCCTTAATCTTGTAGGCGCCGGAGATGGGCAGGCGCAGGGGGGCATCGGTCTTGCGCTCGGGGACGGTGACGAAGGAGTTCAGGGCGTCCAGCAGGGTGTGCACCTGCACCTTCTCGTTCTTCAGGTTCAGCACCTCCTGGCCGGTGTACCAGGGCATGTTGGTGGACTGCAGGGGCAGAGAAATGGTGGGGGCGTCCGATGTCAGTCAATAGTGCATGTGATGTCCTACAGTGGCTAACAGAAGCAGCTTGAACATGCAGAAAAGGGAGTGACCCACATACATGACGCAACTTTGTTACAGTCAAGCCCAGCAAGCAGCAGCCCAGAGGCCCCACCTTGCTGATCAGGTTGTCGCCGAGCCAGCCAGAGATGGGCAGGATGGGCACGGACTTGTTGACGAAGTCGTCCTTCCAGCCGACGCGCACAAGCATGTGGCGCATCTCGTTGGCAATCTCATCGTAGCGCTCCTTCTTGTAGCCGGCGGTATCGGAGTCCATCTTGTTCACGCCAACAATCAGCTGGCGGACACCCAGCAGGTTGATCAGACGGGCGTGCTGGCGGGTCTGGCCCTGGATCTCACCGGCCTGCAGCCATGGAGGGTACGTGGTTGTTTAGTCATATGTGGGTTGTAGGTTGCTGATTGTAGGCTGTCGTCATACCGGACAGTGGTGTGCGGATAAGGTCAACAGCATGTTGACACAGTCAACGAGCGAGGAGAGTAGGGGAGGTTAAGGGTAAAGCAATCCTCACCTTGTGGTCACCCTTCTGGATGGCGGTGGTGAAGTTACCATCGGCGGGCACCATCAGCAGGCACACATCGGCCTGGGCGGCACCGGAAATCATGTTCTTGATGAAGTCGCGGTGACCTGTGCGGGACATATGAATTGGGTTCGTCAGGGATGGTACATAGGGAGTGAGTGTGAGGGTAGCAAGGGGGAAGCGTTTGACATACTCCAATGCGTTGGGAAGCCATGGTAATTTGATGCGCACATTCTCAGGAAGTGGGTTTTCAGAAAGCACAAACAAAGAAGCTTTAGACTTACCGGGGGCATCGATGATGGTGTAGTGCCACTTCTCGGTGAAGAACTCCTTGGTGGTGCAGGCAATGGTCACACCACGCTCGCGCTCCTCCTTAGCGCGGTCCATGTAGAAGGCGAAGGCGAACGAGGACTTGCCCAGGGCAGCGGCCTCCTCCTTCAGCTTCTCCAGCTCACGCTCGGGGATACCGCCGAGCTCGAAGAGCAGGCGACCAGTGGTGGTCGACTTGCCGGAGTCGACATGGCCGCAGCTGCGCGCAGATCGGTTTCACAGTTCAGCAAAAGCGCTCAAACCAGCAGACCGGAGAACGCTCGTAACTCACATGACAATGGAAAGATGCTCCTTGCCCTCAGACATCTTTGCTGGTCCTGTGGGACACGGGTCAGTGGAGAGGATAGAAACTTTCAGATAAAAGAAGCGAAGCGGCGCATATGTTCATGATCACAACAAACAAAATAGACACGTTGGGCTCTGGAGCGTTAAGACTGAAGGCCAGGAAGGAAAATCCCCGAAGAATGGTTATTAGTCGCCGCCAGTTAATACGCGCCCGGCGGCTATTGTTGTGCTTAGAATTGCGTAGAAGACAGCTGTAATTTCAGGGCAGAAAGCTAGGGCATCCAATAGAGGGAAGGCTGCCGCCAGGCTACGATCCAGAGTGCAGGTTGCAGCCGCTAGCATATGCTTCTACTACAGGCTGCAAGCTGCCGAGCCCATCTCCGCAGCAACCAAGATTGTAGAAGACATGAGATGTATCTGCCATATTGTAAGAGAGTCGCCGCCAACGGACGCACCTCGAGATCAGCTGGAGAAGGATGGAACTTGAGCTAAACGAAGGTCCACAGGTGGGACTTCGGCTGCTTCCAAAGTGAGGGTTGGAATGAGATGGGTTGCAGCGTAAAATACCGCCAACCGGAGCGGCGTAAGGTCCCCTGGAGCTCCCGTACAAATTGAACATCATCATCTTTTCAGCTTCCCTGTTTCCACCAGACAAACAGACATGCTCTATTACCCATATTACCCATAAAAGTCTATGCCACATCAGCTTGCAACCAGGCGGCAAATACGCGATGCAAGGCAGGCAGCGCCATGCGTTGTTGGAGCCTTCATCACGAACAGCTTCATCTCCTAAACAAATCTATGTTGTCATTGCTTCTATGCTAAAATAAACAGCTTAGCTCCAGACTATACGCAATTTTGGGCAACCTGCACCTGGCTACCCGCCATTCATCTGTACATACTCATACGCATCTGTATACGACTAGTCCACCTATCATACTATGCAGCTGTTTAGTCGTCTAGCACCTCCAAACTAGCCAAATACTGTAATCCCCCAATCATGGCTATCCCGGCGCTAGGGGTCCTGGGGTATCCCCCGACGTGGGGTCCTGGGGTATCCCCCGACGTGGGGTCCTGGGGTATCCCCCAGCGTAGATGACCCACGAATGAACGTATCACTCCTTGTCCTTATCGGCTTTAACAAGTTGATTTACGAAGGCCTGCATGGCAGGGAAGGACTGGAGCTTAGGGCATGGTCCTGTATCATACGTCAGACGTGTTTGCACAGGAATGGGCTACATGACCCTCGGGGCTAGCCGTCCATAACACATCCACATTGTTGCGCTCAATTGTACCAAGGCGGCGTAGTAGCTACCCAGAAACTGTGGACGAACTCTGAACGCACCCGAGGGTTACGAAGTAAGCGTGCGGCCTCCTTGGCAGATGGCAGCTCCGCACGGTCCGTAGAGAAGAAACCCTGCTCCTTGAGGACGTAGAACCCCGCCACTCCCAAGACGCCGGTTAACACAGTGCTTAGAGCGAGTGTACGTGCCTGGGTATGGCAGATGGTGGGAAGGGCTGGGTTGTGAGCTATTCACAGACAGATACCTAGGCCAGCCACCATAGGAAAGTAGAAGCTAGCTTCCTTACCGCAAGGGGAATAACGCGCAGCCGGCTGCTGGGATTGATACCGTCTTCAGCCAAGCTGCGGATATCAAGACATCAAGGTCTGCTTAGTAAGGGTTACAGCTTCCATCCATATCAAGTATAAAGGACCTACTCTTTTGTCCCAGCTCGATAGGTAAGCGTAGCTGTTACCAAAGCTCCTGTAGACAGTACATCGCAGGGTAACATCGGCTCTAGTGGCTCCGGTGTCCACAAAGAACGGTAACAGGAAATGCTTACCAGCGCAAACGATAGCACTACCGGCCGCTACAACGTGAAAAGGTTCGATAACGCTCTTCTCTGCGTCAGTGTCGGCTTTTGACATTGTTCAAGAAGAGCGCAATCATGCAATAATAACGGCAGGTATAACCTAATCAAACAAACTATACTGGTATAAGTGTTGCAAATTGTTGCGCAGCTTGCTATGATTTTATACGGGAACCACGGGTCTTACAACACGGCAGATTACGGACGCGTCTTTGGCCAAATGGGCCGCAGCATGCACGTCGTGTGCTGTTCAGCCTATGGTTTTGCTCACACGATAAGGATAAATATAAGCGGTCGCCTTTGCGTTTGGTACATTGCGCGTTCTTACTGCTCGCGTGTCTTCAGCGATTTCCAGCGGAATGCCTTCATACAAAACTGCATGCATTTGCACTATTGGTCACAGTTCAACGCACACCTCCTGAATCGAACTGGTAGCAGGCAATGTGGAGGTTTCAGGGGAACGCAGGTGTGACAGGCGAAACTATTTTGCTTGAGTGCTGCTTATCGAGTGACAGCGGCTTGTCAGTCGCTGGTTTGCTAGGTCAGCGATCCTTCACACTCAGGTTTCATCACAGGGGGCGCATAACTGCCCTAGAATCCAAGACTGCATACGGCCCTTTGCCGACTCGCGGGCTTCTCGACTAGGGGATCTGAGCCACACACCCATTGACGCAGCTTGCTGCGAGTTAAGCAAACAACTTATTAGTACATCAGCATTTCGTGGTGGGCAAGCAGTAACACGGGGATTGCACCACGAAGTCCCGCGTTACCTAACGTGGTGCTGGGTGGAGATCTTAATCCAAATATGGGTACGTCCTTGTGTTGTCTGCATGGAATGTCAAACGTTAGTGTTGCAGTCAGCGGCAACACTTTTGTCATATGTTGTGTTGTTGTCCCGCCGGGTCCAAGGACCGGCCAACTTCTTCGCACGACAACGCACGTACTTGCCTTCGCCACGCAGTGGTTAGAGCCAAACGCAGCGAAGCACGCCTATGTTCCCATCGCAATAAGCTGCAAGTATTTTCTCTCTGTGCGCTGTTGCATCCACAATTAAACAGGTCGACGCCTACAAGTGGTTTCCCAATTGCCCGTCGCATCCCTTCAGACGGCGTCGATCGCTGATTTACCGCACGTCCAGCAAGTCGCTGGGCCCCTGAACAAGGCAAGCCGCCTCAACGAGATAAGCCACCTTAACGACCCACGCCAACCAGATTCCACGTGCAAACGTCATCACGGCGGTGTCGCAAGCGCTGCAATCTCGGTCACCTCAAGCAGCAGCCTTTCTCCTTCTGAAACAAAAGGCACACACATACTGTCATCTTCAGCTTCTCTTTCTGAGAATTTCATCCCTGTAAGCGGCGCAAGTCAGACAGGCGACTGCGTCCCAAAGGCTCCTGATCAGCTCCTTGATCCGCAGCTACAGCTGACAGCAACCGTTCAGGCTCGCAGCATGTACGTCAAACCCGCTGCCGCTCTCCAAGCAGGCGGAGGCGCTACAGCTGGCAGCAACCCCGCTGCCGTACAGCCACAAGGTTCACCCGCCACACCAGGCCTCCGCAACAACCACAACAGCAGCAGCACCAACGGCAGCTTGCAGCCAACGTCGCCGCCACAACTGCCAAAGGATGGCGCTGCTCTTGTCAAGGCAGATGGCGTGGTGGGTGGAACTGGCACCAACGGCGGGGTGCGGGAGCGGCAGTCGACTGGAGCGCTGGTGGCTGAGGACGTAGCGCCGCCACCGCCGCCGTCGTCGCGGCGCAAGAAGCCGGGGAAGCTGCGGAAGGCGTGGGCTCGCTTCAAGCGTGTCGCTACCTGCTCCAGCGTTGGCACGTTCGGTGAGTTTGACAAACGGCTTCCGGTGACTCATCCTGTGGTTTCAGGCAACAAAACACCGGCGGGACTGAGGCATCCATACCCACCCCCGCGTTCGTACCACGCCACGCGTGTTTTCTCATACTTCGCTTCCGCGCTTTCCTCCCTCCCTCGTGCGTCCGCCCAGATCCCCCGATGCATGGAGTCCCCCTGGAGGCTGGAGAAGCCGTCATCGCCACCAAGGGCGCGGCTCCAGGCCCTCGAGGAGCTGCCGCCGGTGCCGTCTCGGGTGCCGAGCAGGTGCAAGCACGTGAGTCGTCTTCGGGTTCAGAAGGTAGCCGACAGCAACATACCGGCTACCTGTCCGCACCCAGGCGGTGGGGTGCAGGTGGGGACGGCTGAAGCAGTGGGAAAACTAGGAAAGACGTGTACCATGAGCACGACACATGGTGTTTGCCATGCGTTACATGTGTCGTGCATGCGTGCCGACTGACCATGCACAACATGCGACAGGAGAGCAACTAACCTACTGTCCAGAGCTTAACCTTTACTGTCCATGACCCATGGGTCGGCCACGCTTCCCATCATACTTTCACGCCGGCGCCACTCGACGCCCTCATCTGCCTTTGCAACCACTTACCTCCTTGAGCAACCGAAGACACACACCGCATGCTTGCCAACCCATCTTCCGCTTCTTCGCTTCCTCGCAGGCTCCCGCGGGGTTGCTGCTGCGGCGGGTGCGCCCTCCATCGCCTCGGACGCCAACGCCAGCTCCGCCGCAGCAACCGCCGGCAGCAGCGTCCGCTTGCCCGACCCCAACGCCTCCGGGAGCTACGCCATGTACGACAACCATGCGGCTGAGCACGCCGGCGGCGCCGTGAAGTCCGGTGCGGGCGCGGGTTTGGGCGGAGACTCCAGCCATGCTAAAGCCCGCGGCAACAACGCCCTCGCCGCAGAGCCCGCCGGTGCGGTTGTGTCGCCAGTGCCGGCAGCGACGCCAGCGGGGCTGGGCGGTTCGGCGGTGCAGCGGGTGCCCGTGGAGCGCACCCGTGACAGCCTGTGCAGCATGGGTGAGCGCTTGGTGGGAGGGGTGGGATAGGGGAGGGGCTGACGTGGCAGCTGCGCTGTTGCATGCACACTTGAAGCTAGAGCTACGCTGCATCGCAGCGTGTGCAGTACCGGTGTGGTTTCCTCTGCGTCGCACGGCTTCGGCTGTGTGGCATTCTCCATTAGACCATGACCCGCTTTCCGTTTACCGGTCGGATCTTCGTCGCACCTTGTCCTTCGCAACTTCTACTTCTTACACCTCAAAATACGACTCTCTTCTCCAGCATGATGCGTCTCGCCACGTCCTTTCCCAACGCAAAGCCCCTTTCACCTAACAGCCTTAAGCTGTTCCTGCCGCTCTTCTTTACCCCATATGGCCTGTGCAGGCAGCGCAGAGGACGACTGGTACGACGCCCGCAGCGTGGCCTCCACCTTCTCCATCATGTCCTCCCACGCCTCCGCCGCCGCGGCAGCCGACGAGGAGCACCACCAGGGCCCCCCGATGCCCTTCCTGCTGCGCTCCGCAGCTGACGGCAGCAGCGGTACGGCAGGATCCGCCAGGCACCTGGTCGAGGGGCAGTTCCTACCCAAGCCACCGCTGCCGCCGACGCAGCCGCCTCCGCCACAGCCGCAGCAAGTGGTTCTGGCGCTGCAGCCCGCCACGCCGCCGCTACCGCAGCGGCAGGGTCCGCCGGCGGCGGCGACGGCGACGCCGGCTGTGTCGTCCAGCGACAACAATCTCACGGGGCAGTTCAGCACCCCAGTGCTGGCGGCGCCGCACCGTACGGGCTCCGCCGCCATCGCCGGCATGAGCCCCATCCACTCCGGCGGCACCGACGGCGGGGCCGCCGTCGCCGCCGACGACGGCGAAGGAGTGGCGGCGGGCCCGGCGCCTGCGGAACTTGACGCGCTGCCGGCCCATGTGGCGCCGCAGCCGGTGTCGCTGCATGACATCTCGCCCAAGGCGGCGGCGGAGCTGGCGGCGGCGATGTCCATCAGGCCGTCGCCGGCGTCGACGCCGCGGGCTGCTGCTGGCGGCGCTGCTGCCACGCCGCGCTCCAGCTTGACGCCGCGTGTGGCTGGTCCGGCTGTGGACGGCGGCGAGCGCCCCAACTGGGTGCCTGCGCAGCCCATTCCGGGCCTGGGTAAGTGCGGTTAGTGGATGAGTGGGTGGGAGCTCTGCTGGGGCGGTAGGTGGTTGGAGCTGCACGGTCGGGGATGGGATGTGTGGACCCTGGTTACGTGGGCCCTCTGCTTAATTTGAAGTGAGTAGTGTCGCTAATGTGACCAAGTCTTTTTCTCTCGACGGTAGTAGCACACTGGCTATTACCTGAGCACCTCGTAAGCTGAGCATGCGCCCTCCGCTACACTCTGGCCTACACTCGCAGACCCCGCCACGCGCTTTGCGCCCGTGCCCGCCGAGCTGCCTGTTGCGGGCTACTGGGCCAAGGTTCCCGAGCTCTCGGCGCCCAACCCGCTGCCCATCGATGTGGCGCTCAACGCCAACCGCATGGCTCGGACCGTGCATGAGAGCATCCAAGGCATTCTGGTGGGTGGCTGGGTCATGAGTGCTGCGGGTTCAAAGGGCTAGCGTCGTGGCATCTGTCCTTTGTCTGGATATGGGATATGTGTTTTAAGGTGCTGTAAGGTTGTGGGCGCGATAGCATGGCCGCGTGCGTGCAGGGGCTGTTGCCCTGTTCCTCGCCGATCCCGTATTCCTCGCCAACCTGTGCGGACTATAGCCACCTGCTGCCAACCCCTCACCCGCCCTCTCCTCCTCTCCCCCGCACCTCGCCGCTGCCTCCCCTCAGCTGCGCGACAACGCGCAGGAACTGGTGCTGAAGGCGCGCGTGTCGCTGCCGCTGGGGCTTAAGATGACGCACCAGGAGCACTACCCCAAGGACAACTCCGTGCACACCACCATGGTGCGCCGCGACGTCAAGCCCGGCCGCTCCATGACGCGCATGTACTACACGGAGGAGGGCGATGTGCTGCTTGTGTAAGTGCACCGGTGGGGGGGGCCTGGGCGGGTGAGGTGGCGGTGGGGTGGCCGCTGGCGGGAGGGCTGATGGGGAGGATTAGGGCGGGGTTGGAGAAAAAGATGAAGGCAGGGTTTGTCCTGAGGCTGAAGGAAGCGAGGATTACACTGGGGAAGAGGACGAATGGGAGGTCTGGAAAGGCACCTAGCCCAGGCTGCATGATGGTCCCTTTTTCGGCGGTTTCTCTGTACTGCAGGTGCGAAAGCTCGGACGTCTACGGCAAGGTCACCCACATCGGCTTTGAGCTGGTGCACATGTACGACAACAACCAGATGATCCGTTGCCGCCAATGGGTGCTGATTATAGCATCTGGCAAGATGGTTGAGCAGTACTTCGTGGGTCGCCGCTCTGAGCTCCCGCGCCACTGAGAGGGTGTTGCGCTGGGACGTAGAAAGCGGGAAGCACACAAGGTTTAGGCCCGTTGAACGTTGTTCACTTCTTTGGTTTTTTGGTTTCAGGCTTTGGTGACCTTGTTGCGCAGGAATTAGTCTTCGCTCACACAACGTGTCCGCGTCAAGCCTTGCTTAATTATAGCCATCGTATCTTCACAATTCATTAGCGCGCTCGGAGCTTTGGAATGAGCCGTTTGGACAACAGGGCGAATTTGCACCCGTTTCCACGTAAGCAGAACCGGAAGACGTACAACACTTGTTCGGTTGTTGCCGTGCATAACCGATTTGCGTTCTGAAGTTCTCATATGTCGCGACAAGGTTGCATGTGATGTTCTGTTGGGGCAAAGCTTAGGAGGGCTTTCATACCATAACTGCCATCGACACATATTGCTTGTAAGCTGCCCCTTTCAGTCAGTCTCTAGCGCGTCAGAACTCAGTAGTCATGGCGCCAACATACGCTGACCACCTGAACGTGAGTTTGATGAGACCAGTAAACTCCAGCAAGCTAGTCTGCCCTGTGAACACAGCTTTCGTCGTCGGGCGCACAGGTTATCAAGGGCTTCTGTGACAAGGCCGATGGCAAGGATAAGCTTACGGGACTTATCCAGGTGAACAGCTAGCTCACCCGACACCATCGCCACTGCCAGCTGCGTTTCCCTTAGCATTTTCTCCCCAAATGCGCAGTATGCCTGCATGTTCCTTTCTGCTGGCGAGCCCGGTAACCTTAAGAAGGTTCAGGCGTCCGTGACGGCGGCGCGGAAGGTCTTCCGCATCATGCGGGTGCGTAAAGCGCGCTTTGGGAGAGGACGTTTTGGCGCCAGAACTAAAGCAGTTTCTTTTCGTATGTAGCCTCTGGAGCTCATGAGTCCTCTGCTCATCAGCCCGGGCTTCTCAGGCAAGCAGCCAATGCTTCTCGAGGCCATCAACAAGGTAAGCTCGTTCCCTTCAACGGAACACCTCGTCGGACAGAGGTTGGCAAAGTTCATTGAACAATTTTATTAGCGGGTAGTTGTATTACCCTTGCCACCCACTACACGGCCCCTACCTTCGCCGTAAACAGCCACATGATAGTGTTGACGATTAGACTCGTGACAAGCCTAGGAAAGCCCCCTGAAGAGGGCAAAATGAGCGGGGTGTGATATGGGCGGGGTGCGGGATGTATTCCCGTCACTATGGGCATGCCATGCTGCATTGGGGTATAGTTCAAATGTCGCCAGCTAGCCCCCCTAGCACATGTGCGTAATGGCAGAACAGCTCTTGCTTTTTGGGACACGACCCACATGCGTACACGTCCAAATGTGTCAGTATACCTGGTCATTACGACGCACTCGTCGATGCCTAACACCGATCACATTCGTGGCCCGCGGTACGCAGGTCAAGACCGTGCTGATGGCTGTGTACTTCGGCGCGGACCACGTCGTCTGGGCCCACCAGATTGGCCTTATCTCGGACAAGAAGATCGGCGAACGGTAAGTGATCTGTTACCCTGAGGGTGGCTGAAGCGTGCGACGTGTAAGGCATGTGTTTAGCACGTCGTGAACTTATCTGGAGCTCGTTGCACATACATGCAGGTACCAGAAGCTGTCCTTGTGGACCTGGGCCCTTGGGTCCGTGTGCTCGGTGGCCGCGGAGAGCTGGCAGATTGCGATGCAGAGCGTTGTGCGCAAGGAGGGCGAGAGCGACGCGGACTACGAGAAGCGCGTTGAGGCCGTGAAGAACGACATCAACAACCGCTTGTTCATCATCCTGCACTCGGTCATCCAGGTGGGTCAGTTGTGGTATAAGCCAGTGCACCTGGAGATCTGGACGCTAGGCACAGACGTTCCTCCGGCATGGGCATGAGCTAGGTACCGGTAGTAGTATCGTGAGACCTTGACATATGGTAACATGCCGCCCCGCCTTTTCGCACCAATGCCCGCAGGCTGCCCTGGCGGCCGGCCTGCTGCAAGTCCTGCCCTTCAAGCCGCGCACCGTTGGCTTCCTGGGCGTTGTGGCGTCGGCCATGAACTGCTACATGCTTCTGCCGGCGTACCCCAAGCCGGCGCCCAAGGCGAAGGAGCAGTAAATGCATCATGTTGCCGGTCACCCTGGGGGACTTGGTGGTAGCAGCTGACACGAGCATCCATGCTCGTACCTCGTAGCATGCTTGCACGTGGCGGGCAGCAGGAGGGCTGACAGTTATGCTTATGGAACTCGAGCGCCACTAGGCCTTTTAGGCGTGCGGCTGTGCTGCCGATAGGGCAGGGGCCGACCTATGGGGTCTGTGGTCCTGGGCCTGCGAGTCCAGGTCCTTCCCGTAAAACCACCGCATTGTACATTGCGGTTATGATCACCTTGCAGGGATGCATGCTGGGAAATGCCGTGTATACACGGCGTTTTCGTATACTTTCTCTATTAGTTACGTATTTTTGGCCAAGCCATACAACGTATGGATTGGCCTGTCCAAGTGGGGTCATGCAAGCTCGTGTTGAAACGCATTCATTTAGGCGATCTGCGTCGTATAGGACAGATGCGTACCGTGTCTGGCTATGAAGCGTTCAACAATGCTCGAGGACATGTGTTCAATGTATCAACAAGTTCAATGTAAGCAAGCCCGAAATGATAGATGCGTTGCAGCCTATATCCGCTCTGTCCGTATCGCCGCTGTAACTAAGCTAATTGCGAATCTCTTTTGCTTTCCAATTGAGTAATCTAGCAGGGACAATGCAGATGAACCATTAAATAGGCAGCAGCAACGTGTCCCACTAGCACTAAACAATGGCGAAGCAGCCGAACGTGTTAAGCGCAATGCTGCGATGGTTTTCTGTTTGGTTTCGTCGAGCGCTTCAACTACTGCTAATCGTGCTGGGGAAAGTGCCGGAGCACGTCGCCTTTGTCATGGATGGCAACCGTCGCTACGCTGAGCGGCAACACGTCGACAAGGCGACTGGTCACACCCATGGCTATGGGAAGGTATATTTTTATGTGCTTAACGTAAGCAGGTCAACAATCGGCGAGTATGACTACGGTTCCCCTGCAGATGGTAGACGTCATTCACTGGTGCATGGAGCTTGGCGTAAAGCACATCACCGTCTATGCGTTTAGTATTGACAACTTCAAGCGTGCCCCCGAAGAGGTGGCGTCGCTTATGCGTCTTGCGGAGGAGAAGTACATAGAGCTGGCTCAGGTGCGCGTTTGCCAGGGGTCCCTTCTGCGCGCCTTGCTATGGGCATGTGGCGGGCGTACAATGGCGTAGTTGGAGAACGCGGCGAAGTGGAATCACCGTGCTGCACGCAGGGCAACATCCCATCCCATCTCAGCCCCACAGATGGCATGGGCTTGTATCAGACATGACAGACATACGCCCATGCGCAGTGCACCTTATGCTTGCAAATCCTTACAGATCTACCCACACCCCGAGCGGTCATCCACTGTCTGCATATACTGCCTTGCTACATGTTGCCACGGCGTGCAGGTCAATGGGCTGGCGGAGCGTGAGGGCATCCGCATGCGCATCGTGGGGGACCTGGAGCTGCCGCCACCGGGGGTGCAGGGTGCGGCGGCGCGGCTCATGCGCGGCACGGCGTCGTTGGGCAGGCAGCGCGCAACCCTTAACGTGTGCTTCTCATACACGTAAGCAAGCGGGGGTGTGCCAGGACTGTGGGAGGGCGAGCTGTGGGTGAGGTCAGGAGGCATACAATCCTGTCCTCGGCCGTCATATCCCAGCAATATCCCATCTACCGAAAACCGTCCCCACTACCTCCGCTCTCCCCTGCATTGTATCCCGCAGGTCCAGTGAGGAAACCGTGGCCGCCGTCCACGAGCTCCAATCTGCCGTACGCGGCGCTCAGCTGTTGCCCGCCGACGTGCGCCCCGAAACCCTGCATGCCGCCCTGCGTACCGGCCCGCACAGCCCCCCAGTCGACTTGCTGATCCGCACCTCCGGGGAGACGCGACTCTCCGACTTCCTGTTGTGGCAGGCCTCTCATGCGCACCTTTGCTACCTGCCCGTCATGTGGCCGGATATGTCGTACTTGGATTTTGCCCGTTGCGTGTTGTCGTACCAGCGGCATGCGTCTGCGCTGGCGGGGCTGCGACGGAGAGCTGCGGAGCGGCTGGCGGGTACGTCAGTGGCTTCGACAGCAGCGGCGAAGGCAGTGGTTGAGGAACAGGAGGATGCGCAGCAGCCAATTGGGTCTGCGGAACACCTGTTAGGCCGTAGAGCGAATCGCGAAGCGGAGTGGGATAGGAAGCAGGTTTCGGAGCCGCATACCGGCCATGCGGCCAGGGGGAAGTCCGGAGCTGTGGCGGAGGCGCGGGAGTCTGCTACGGCTGGATCCCCGGTGGCAGGATCCAGCGAGAGTACGGCAGCCTGGTGGTGGTGGGGCCAGCGGGGAGGTGTACGACACCGCCATGCTGGCGGGAGCCGCGGGAGGGAGCATGCGGGGGGCCGGCCGCTCGCTCCTTGCGACACGGAGGCAAGCTGCAGCGACGGCAACCGCTGCAAGGCGGCCCTACGTCAGCCTGGCGGGGCCGGGGGGCTGCTGGGGCTGTACCGCAGCCTGGTTGCGTGGATGGGAGCGGATGTGGGGCTGGGGCTGTGGAGCACTGCTGCAGGTCTTCCCAGGGCAGTCAGCAGCATCTGGGCTTTGCAAGCCGGGCGGTTGTGGCGGTGGGGCGGCAGAGGGGCGGTGGGACGGGGTGCGGATGGTGCGCGCGGGCGGTTGTGGCGGTTGTGGCGGTGGGGCGTCAAGGGCGCGGGCTTGGAAGAGGATGCGGGTTATGGCGGTGTTGGCGGCGAGGGCGGTGGCGACATGGGACGAGAGCTTCGGCTGCTGCGGTTCTTTGAGAGGCAGGAGGCGGCACGGGCAGCCTGGATTGAGGCACATGCGGGCCTGTAAGCTAGAAGGCTGTGCAGGGGGCCGAGGTGTGTGGTTGAACGCATGAGGTGTTGAGGATGGCTACTACGGGACGTGACTGCTGAGGCGTTACTTCGAGCCTGCAGCAACCCCCGATGCAGGGATGGAGTACAGGGGCCTGCACTGGTGCTATTGCAGGGACATACGGCGCTAGTACCCATTCCTGGATTGTATCATGCATGCACGGTATCTCCCTCCGTTGACTCAAATGTGATTATGGTACCACACCAGCACGATATCGCACGAGTAGTCGACCATTGTCGCATTGGACTAAACCATGACTTGCGGGGACCGAGCTGCTAGGTCGAATGATCCGGGCGGTAGCGTTGCACTGGCCGTTAACCAGAGAGCTAAGCGCCTGAGCAGGGTGTGGGGACGACGGTCGAAGGAGGAAATAAAAAGAAAATTAGAAGTTGAAGCAGGACCTTGGGAACACCAAAGAAGCGCAAGGAAGCATCCGCATGCTAGGCTTTCAACGGCGTAACGTGCCCCGCTGTCGGCTTCGGAGCTTGCTGCCACCACGTGGCACTCCACGTCTCCAGGTAGCAGAAAATATAGACGCTTCACTTGCAATCCATTTCCTTGTGGCTGTCTGCACCGGTATTCTGCAAGCTAAGCACTGCCAGCTCTATTAAAATAGGACAGCTTTCTGACTCAGCGTCCAGTTATTTGCCAAGAAACGCCAAAAGTGCAGCTTTTTTCACTTGTGCTACTGCTATACCTGTTCAGGACCTGGCAAAGACATAGTGTGCCATAGCGTGGATAGCAATGCCCCTGCTAACGTCTTGTCTAGCCCTGAGGAGCCCTAGCTGACTGAGGATATATGGCGCATCCATTCCAGCAGAGGAAGCTTCTTGTTACGGTGCGCCTTTCCTGCTCTGCGTGACGTGGGGTGACGCACTTGCGGATGGGAAAAGGTGGTGACCAACCTCAACCTCCTTACAGGTCTGCAAAGCAGAGATTGGTTGGGATCAGCCCTCGTGCCATACCTCTAACAGTTCCGGAGGCAATCCCGACCAGTCCTCCCTTCCATCATCATAGACGATGTCAAACGACGCTTCACGCAAAGCCAGTAGACGTCCGTCTTCCATTGCGCGAGGCACTGCTGAGCTGGCGTGCAACCGTGGAGTAAAGCTCGGCCCACTGACCAACGGGACTCAATTGCATTACACTTGTAACCGTAGAGCCTGCGCGACGCAGTGTGTGCTTCTTCCTCAACGACAACGGGTGTTGCCTTAGGGCTTGATACCTAAGTTGCTCACTGTGTTCCCCCGGGAAAAGATGCACAGGTATTATAAAAGAGTCTCAAGAAGCTGCTAAGAAAGATTGTGTAGATTGCAAATAGGCCTTCCCTACTGCGCGCCCGACCTCGGAAGCTCGTCCAAATCACGTGCTACCGAACACCGGCAATCTTCTTCTTCCCTTCTTCTTTCCTTGGCACAAGTGTTGTAAAGGTTACACCTTCGCGTATACTATTGGTACAGGTCATTTTCCCTTCGGCTTTTAGGCAATTTGCAGGGACCGGGTCTATATTTTTCCCCCCTTGGGGACCCCCGCCAGAGACCCCATTTCGGGCCTAAAAACAGTTCAAGGGGCACAATTCGATGAGTTCTACTACCCCCGGGGTATCTCGGGCCCGGGAGGGGTATGAGGTACAGAACTATAGTTCCGCACCCCTCCTGCAATAGGTATTAAGTAGCTTTTTTGGTTGCAGCCCTGAACAAATGCAGGTGATACCGGTAAACCGCTTAGCTTAAATATGATCAGAGTATTAACGCATTAATAGAAAACATAGCTTAAAGGAGTATGTTTCAAGAAGATTGCCGGTGTTCGGTAGCACGTGGTTGGACGAGCTTCCGAGGTCGGGCGCGCAGTAGGGAAGGCCTTGCAAATATAGAGGCAACGGCCGAACTGAAACTCCCAACCTTTGCCGTAACAAAAGCAAGCATGACAGTTTGCCGCTATGCCAGCGCTAAGCAAGTTTGCTGTACAATCTAGCACGCACGGGGCAAGGAGTCCTGAGTACCTCCTTTTCCCCTTGGAGATAGGGCGTACGTCAGGAGCTTGTTTCCCATGCAGCCCTCCTACCCGTTCATGTTTATGAAGAGGTTGACGGCTCTTACGTTATGGAGCTGTTAAAGCCTACGAAAAGGATTTCGCGAGGAAGCTCCGAATCAAGACCCTGTTCCTGACCAATGTCAACAGCGAAGCGCTGGAGACGAATCAGTACTCGGATCGACGTGGGGCCCATAATGTCACTCATAACCCCGGGGGCTACCGGGTAAGGCTCTAGACTGCTGCGCATGCGGCTTGCCATACTTGTCACGCCACTGCCATACCTCTCCTTCGCTGTCGCCCTTCGCAACACCCCGTTTCTACCCCATGCAACAACAGCTAGCCGCTATCAATCTAGCCAGCCCCAACGTCCCATACAGGAAGACACGCCACATCCTTCGTCGACTCTTACTCACACCAACCTTTTAGCCACCAGGGGCTCGTTAAAGTCATCCCAACCTTTTGTCGCCACGTGCCTCCCAACGAACACACACCACCACCACTAAAAGAGCAGCGAGCAACTCCTGCCTCAGTCACCGCAGCAACACATCCAGCATGTACGCACACGCCGCACCCACCTGCAAAGGCGCGACTTTAGTACATACCTGAAATCCCTGAATGCGCCCATTTGTGCTTCGGTCCATGCAAGCGCTATCCCTCCTTCACCATGTCGGATTCGCCCATTCAGACATCGACACGCCCTTGCGTGCGGCTGCACTCCTGCCCTGCTCAACCATCATCGTTTCGCAGTAGAACGGGAGGGCGCAAACGTCCGGGTGCTAGCTGCCATAGTGAGAGTGTAGTAAGATGAAAAACAACAGGTTGAGTCTTTATTCTATAAGCACCCAAGCTTTACTCCATATGTGGAGAGCAAGCCGTGCACACGCCTATATACCGATTGCCCTAGAGACACCTTATGGCACCGTGCTACTACCCGACAACATGTCCTGCTGACACACGCCCCCACCCGCATCCCACCACACACGAACCACCATGCATGCATACATCTCCCCTCAATCCAACCGACCCAGCACGGCTCACTCGCTACCCCCTCGTCTGTTATGCCTCCGCCCCACTCCTCCCTAATACCGGTACTCCCATCCCCTCTGAGTACTGCCACTGCCCTGACCTTATGCTGCTGCCGCTGCTGCCGCTGCTGCCGCTTCTCCATCCCCATCCCCAGCGCTCGTCTGCTGCTGCTGCTGCCGGCACTGCTCCCATCCCCCTCCTCACCCCCTTCAAGCCCTGCTGCTGCCGCCGCTGCCCCCACCCCCTCACGCCTTTGCCATGTACGCCGCATCCTCCGTGCGCACCACGATTCGGTCCCCGGTGCGCACGAATGCGGGCGCCATGACGCTGATGCCGCCCTCCACCAGCACGTGCCGCGCGGAGGAGCCGTCGTCCTTCTCCACGGCGGGCGGCGCGTCCAGCACAGTAACCGACACCTTGTGCGGCACGCGGGCTGCAGGGGCGGGGTGGAGCGGCGGGGCGGGCGGGCAATGAGGTACCGTAAGCAACAGAGGGGTGGCGCGATGGCTTGTTAGGGCACGATGCGGAGTAATGAAAGATGTACGGAAGGAACGGACACGTGCATCCACCCCGGGCCCCAGCGCCGCCGCCCGCCGTGCCTCACGCACCCGCCACCGGCTCCCCCTCGAAGAAGCTGACTGCCACCGTGAGCTCGGGTGCGGCCAGCCAGCGCCGCCCCTCCCCGAACAGCTCCGGAGCCAGCACCGCCTGCTCGTAGGAGGTGCCGTCCATCACGTGCACGTTGCCCGCCTCGTCCTGGTACAGGATCTGGGGGGTGGGGTGGGGTGTTAAGAAACTGGCCGCGAGTCGGTGGGGTGTGTGCGGAGGGGTGTGCGGTGCGGGGATTAGAAAAACTGAGCCGCGGAAGATGGGGTTTGGGGAGAGGCTTTAGGGGGAGGCGGTGGAGTCGAGGAGAAGGGTGTATCCAGGTAAGGGTGCATTGAGGGCAGTGCCATGGGAGCTACATCAGTGGGCATCAAACAATGCTCAATGCCCACCGACCAAAGCCCTTCCGTTGGGCTGTCTCAATTCATTATCGCAAGGTACGGCAATCCAGCCCCCATGCAAGCAGTCAGCAGTCCCCCCACCTGCATGTCCTTAGTGTCCACGTCCGCCAGCTCCACCTGCGTGTAGTGGGGTGGTTAGCAGATGAGACTCACGTAGGGGTGGGGGGATGCTAGCAAGTCAGCGTCCGCACACAGGTAAGGTGCATGGATGACTGATAGCCGGCCGCCTGACAGCTGTCGCTCCTAATGCCACATAGTTTTATCCATCCTGCCCCCATGACAAACTCCCCTCCCTTGCCTGGTCATCTAGCCGCAGCTTCTCCGAGGTGCGAGCCCCCGAGGCCAGGTCCACCAGGTCTAGGGACACGAAGCCAGCAGCGCGGGCCTGCCCATGCATCCAGTGGAAACGCGCAACGCGGAAAGGCCGCCCATCCCGCTGCACCAGGTCCCCAGCGCGGACCTGGGGGCGGGGTTCAGGGACATGGACCAGGAAGGGGCGAGGTTACAAGACGAGGTGCACGGCAAAGTTGGATGTCGGACAGGAGACGGTTACAACCCGGAGACTGGTGTAACAAACATTAAGCGGGATGAGCCTAACTGTCCATGTGCATGGCCGCCGGCAAGCCGAGGGCGCTTTTTCGGGATGTGATTGATTGCCCGTACCGGTACCTGTTGGGCTGGTTTCTTCAGGCCCCGGACCAATTGCGCCAATGCCGGTAACCAGGAGGTAGGAGTTGCTGCTGACGCCTGCGAGTCCAGCACTACGCTGCCATGGCAAGCCGCAGCTAGGATGGAGCGCTGTCCGCGCGTCAAGAGGTTACGTACCACTGGCAGCATTGCGGCGATTACTATTAGATTTGCAACGAATGGCGTTGTCGCATGTCAAGATGAACCATCGCGGGCAGCAGGCACAGCACGCCGTACATCTTGTGATTGGGTGGAGCAAAAGTGTGGAAAAGCCAGCAGTCGCTGTTTAATATTGCAATATACTCGAATGGTAATGGAAGCGTAGTAGGAGGTCGTAAAAACCCGACATGACAAATGGATGAATTTGAGGAGCTAGGAGACGAGTTTCCTGATATACATTCTTTATTCCTGTACTACAACGACCTCTATTTTGGAGGTGTTCTGCTTGGAAACACCACGGTGGAATGGAGCAGTAGCCGGATGACGCTGTGAGTTGGCGAGTGCAGGCTAGGTCTTCGCTTGCCTCTGGACTTCAAGGTCAAAGAGCCCGTTCTAGCAGCGCTCTGAGTTATGACATTCAACGGTCCCAATGAAGCGCAGGTGCGGAGGCATCTGCAAGTATCATCCGCTAATGGGGTGCCAGATAAAGCTCAGCGAGCCCCTTCTCAAGGTGAGCACTGTGAAGCACTCTTCACGATTGTTGATGCCCAAGCTGCTTACATTACAATTCTCAGTCACACACTGCAGAAGCTCTTAGCCCTCCCTTTTACTCTCACCACCCAATTCGCAGCTACGTCCGGTGCGCGACATGAAGATGGTAAGTGTCGTCCATCAGTCCTTAACAGCTGTCCATCTTCCCCTCACGCCCCTCTCTCCATGCGTCACGTCACTCCTCAAAGGTGCTGCTTCACGAGATGATCCACGCACACAACATGACGCTTAAGATCCGCGATCCGGATCCGGGCGGCCACGGCCCGCCCTTCCTGGAGCTCATGAACAAAATCAATGTCAGCACCGTACCCGATCCGCAGGTACGGCTGGTGGGCATCGCAGGACGGTACGACACATACCTGGAATCATGGATGCTTCAGGTTACAGACACGCTTGAGGACAGTTCCTTACCAACCCAAGCATTTGCACCCACGGAATCCACTCACAGTTTCAACTGTTGGTTCCGCTTACCCTTGCGGTTGTGCATTGTGCTGTTTCCCGCCGCTTGCCGCAGCGGCCGCCCGGCGGCTACAAGATCACCACCACGCACTCCATGATCGGCGAGGTGGAGAACTACCGCACGCACTGGTGGGAGTGCGAGCGCTGCCGCAAGGTCATCAAGCGCTCCATGAACCGCCCGCCGCAGGAGGCGGACTGCATAGGGTGCGTAGGGATACCTGGGTTGGGTGTGCTGTTGGGCACAAAAGCCCTACATCGCTATACGCCGTACATAGTAGATGCATAAGAGATGGTCACACAGCGGCACCAGGCAGCTGCTGGCGCACGCACCTCCCCCCACCTCCCCCCCTCCGCCAGGCGCACCGGCAGCCGCGGGCCCAGCTGCCGCGACCCCAACTGCGGCTACCACACCCACATCCGCCAGTGCGGCGGCGCATTCATCAAGGTGCGCGAGCCCGACCCCAAGAAGCCCACACGCAAGAAGTCACCCGCTAGGAAGCCCGGCAGCAGGCCAGCGCTGGCACCCGGGCAGCAACGCATCGACAGCGTCGCAGCAGGCGCAGCGGGGGCTGCAGCAGCGGTTGCAGGGGCGGGTGCAGGGGCTACAGCGGGGCCTTCCGGCCGCGGCGCCAAGCGACCCGCGAGTGCACTGGCGGAAAATAGGCAGGGGAAGCCGGCGCCTGGTGCCGGCGCCAGCGTGCCGAGCGGTGGACCGAGTGGGAGTCGAACTTCGGGGGCTTCTGGGTCGCAGCAGCCGACACGCTCGCAGCAGCCGACACAGCCGCGGCCGCACCACCACCCGCAGCAGCAACCGCTGGAGCGGCTGTGGGGGCAGGTCCGCGGAACCGCAGGCGGGTCAGGCGGGTCAGGAGGCGGGACGGACGCCGCGGGTGGCGGTAGCGGGGCGGCAGGGGCTCCCGGGAGTCCGGGGCGGCCGGGGAGCCAGCAGGCCGGCGGGTCGCGCCGCGATCCCAACTTCCTGCCGCCCTCCGTTGGCAGCTTCCCGAGCCCCAAGACCCACAAACCAGGTAAGAGGTGCTAGCGTGCCACCACTGGGAGCTAGGGGGGCTGTCCCTTTAAAGCATGACCCGTAAGACCCTGGTGACGTGGTGTTCCATGTGACATGTCAGACCACTGCATCCGCCTACGGGCTCCCTGCTCCTCCTTGGCCCGCAGCCCCTTCTGCGGCGCCGCCCGCCGCTCCTGCCCGGCCCCAGTCTGTGCCACCGGCCCATCCAGGCCCGGAGGTACCGCTGGCAGCGCCCGCAGGGCCTGCCACAGCAGCAGGACCCTCCGGCTCTGGAGCACCCGCCGGTGCGGGTGCGGTCCAGGCAGGCGCTCCCTCGGCGGAGGAGCTCAGGCGGCGCTGTGCGGAGGCGGCGCTTGCCAGGCTGCAGGGCGCAGGCGGGTCGCGACAGCCCGGGTTGCCGACTGCGGGGGTGGGAGGAGCGGAGGCGGCGGTGAGTGAGGCAGCGGCAGCGAGGCGAGGAGGGCCGGCGTCGTCGTTGGCGGAGGGCGTTGGGGGCACGGCGGAAGGGAGTCTGGGCCAGAGAGCGGGTGAGACTGCGGGGCGGGCTGAGGCGGGGGGGAGCATACTGGAAAGAGCCTTGGTGGCGATGGTGACAGAGGGGTCGGTGTGTGTGTGCGTAGGCAGGGGTGTTACTAGAGGCATCGGGACAAACTGGAAGAATCACCTGACGGCTGAAAGATGGTCATGTGGTGCATCGCAGGTGGTGCTGCTTCTGCCGGACCGTCAAGCAGCGGGGCGGGTGACCGTCAGCAGCCCGGGCCTCTTGGGGGGATACCACCTGCCCCGGGGTCTTCCGCGGCACCGGCGGTTGAGGTGGTTGAGCTGCTCGACGACGATTCAGATGATGACAGCGACTTTGTAATTGTGGCTTGATAGCTGCGTCCATTACGCATTTCGGTTACTCGCGATCCAGCGCCAACAGCAGGGTGAAGCAAGTTCGTAACGTACTGCACCTGCGCTGTACTTCGCCGGCGCTATGAACTCCAATGCAGTGTACGCTGTGCTTGCGGTGAAATTGTTAACGCAACAGATGCGTTGGCTATGGCTGGATGGTGTGCGGAAGCTTGGTCGGCCCTCGTCTAGCAAGGCGCATCGGCTGAAACCTGTTGTACGGCGTTTCTCAAGTCCGACGACGACCAAACCAAGCTCAAATGTCCTACACATCTCCTTCGTGTGGATCATGAGCTAAACTCAATCCCGCTATGCTATCTTTGGCACGTACCTTGTAACAGTTTGCAACGTCACGCTTCCAGCCCACTTATCCGTGCTGCCGAAATACTTTGTATGGCTTTGCATTTATAACCAACATGGCGCAAGTCGCTTTGACATAGACGAAAGCTGTTAACTGAAGACCTTTCGTTAGGTCCATCCGAGGTGGAAATTACAGTCTGTTAATGGACAAAGTCTTCTGAATGTTTCTACAACTCTTTCGGAAACTTGGTGCTCGCCTGAAGTGAGGAAGAAGCCTAATTATGCTCTTGTCAGGGCGGCCGCCGTATCTCTGAGAGTTTTTGGCTTTATAACTTTGCAGGGAGCAATCGGCTGCACGGAAATTAGAACGTGGAACGCTATGCGGGAAGCAGGGGGCAGACGGCGAGCCTCCGGAAGCGAACTTGCATTTAAGCAAGCCTGACTTGACCGTCGTCGCATCGCACTCAGGACCAGACACAGGCGTTGCTGTTTATAAGCAATTTACGCCAGGTGCGGAGCTTTTTGTTTCGGCGTGCCCGCGCCTTGGGAGCAGCTTGAGTCAGCCGTTCTGTGCCTGCTTCTTCTTGTGACTTGACTGTATAATTTTCATCGCTACGTTGTCATTTGTCGTGCAGACCTCCAGGTGTCGTGGGAGGACCCCCTTGATTGGGCCTATGGCATTTCCGTGTCCATGTACGACCTGGGGCCAACGGGCCGCCGTAATGGAGAGCCTGTGGCTGATTGCTTCGGCATTCTGGCCTATCCGGAGGGGGCCGTCCTGGCGGTGGCGGATGGCGTGAACTGGGGCGAGCCGCCCCGCCGTGCAGCGAGGTGTGCCGTACTCGGATGCCTTAACCACATGCACCACGCTCTAAAGCAACACGAGGGTAAGTGGATCGGAGGGGAACAAGCATGGGGGGGCAACGGGGAGGCTGGCCCGGAGGTGCTCAAGGATCAGAACCCCATGCCATGTATCGAAACCCTAGTTCCGGGTTCCTCGTTATGCCACATCCTCGATTGCTGTAAGAGGCTCTCGGGCCCGTTATTGGTCTTGGCCGCCACCCGCCTACCTCCCTCCACAGCAAGGGAAGCAATCCGAGCCCCTCGCCTCCCTCCCCTCACGCCCCAGGCGACTCCTCCCTGGACAGCCACACGGTGTTCCGGCACCTGGTGGACTCCATATCGGCCGCGCAGAAGCTCATCCTGCAGCAGTTCGGCACCCTCACCACGCTGGTGGGTGCAGCCAGGGGCAGTACCGGTACCCCTTTGGGGCCCGGCCCGCGGGTCCAGGCTCTAGCCCGTATGTGCGTGGGGTGGCAGGTTGAGGACACCAGCCCGTGTGTGGTCGTCCTTTTCCTGACCGCACCTGACTACTGTGTAGCGTCCAACTCCAAGCGCGCCTGGTGCTCTTCCATGCAGGTGGTGAGTGTAGTGCTGCCGCTCAAGTGGGTTCGCTCGCCGGGCCGGTGGGCCGCCATCACGCTCACGGTGGGGGACAGCGCCGCCTACGTCTACCGGGCAGCCAGCAGGACGGTGGAGGAGGTCACGGCGGCGGCGCATGCGGATGGAGCACGGTAGGCGGGGGGCGGTGGGGGCGGCAGGGGGTGGGGGAAGCGGAGGGACAAAGCAGACATGGTTACACGGAGTCACCCGGGGAGGGAAGGCGTGCTGTGTTGTCCACATCCCCGTGCTCACCGCCCCATGCGCCGTGCCCTACACCCACCACTGCTTGTGTGCACGCATTCTCACGACCCCTCATCCCTGCACCCCACCACCACCCCCCAGCGACCCCCGCTGGTGCCCCGGTGCGCTGGGCTACGCCATGGGCGAGGAGCCCGACCTGGCCAACATGATGCTGTGCCTCACATTCCTGGACGAGGGGGACTTCATTTTCCTCACCAGCGACGGAGTGGCCGACAACTTTGACCCCGTCATCCGCAAGATAGCGCGACACCAGGTGCGTGGGTGGATGCTGAAGGGTGGGCGTGAAGGCACCGCAGGCGTGTTTGCGTTCGGGCTCAGGATGAAACAGCCGCCGCGTTAGCGCAACGCTGCATTTCACAATGTACCCTCCTTTAGTCGTCGCCTTGCAAGTACAAACCCTAACCCTTACGCGGTCCGACCACTGCTTTGACGCAGGTGCTGGAGTCCACGGACAATGACCTGCCCGCCCTCTCTCCGGCGGAGTGCCAGGCCAAAGCCATGGACCTCCTGCGGGAGGTGCTGGTGGACGCAGACAGGCGCCTCTCAGCAGGAGCGTCCCGCACTCCCACATCCAGCAAATCGACCCACGGGTCATCCACGCCCGCCACATCCACACCTGCCACGCCCACGGCTGGTGACAATGCTAGCAGCTCTGAACCCGCAGCAGCAGCTGACGGCGGCGATAGGGGCACCGCAGCAGCCGGCTGCAACCACTGCCATGTCGGTCTGGGTCGCGGCAGCCGCAGCGGCGGTATGACAGCCCGGGGGCTGGCGGAGCAGCTGCTGCAGCATGTGTACGAGGTGACGACGGAGCAGCGGCAGCATGTGGAGGCGCGCAGCCGCGAGCGGGAGCGGGAGCGGGGGCTGTCGCGAGGGGAGGGGCCGTGTCTGAGCACGGACGGCAAGCACGGGGGGCTGATGGGGCTGGCGCCGTCTGCGAGGCCGCCGGGGAAGATGGACCATGCGACGGTGGCGGCGTATCAGGTAGGGCACGGGTAGGGAAGCCAGCAGTGGCAGCATCCTGCTACCAGTAGAGTTATATCACCCTCACGCTAGCTACCTGGAGGTGGAAGCTGTACTGCTGGCCGCTATATACCCACTTACTATCCACTTACCGGTAGCTGCTCTGCTGTTCAGCATGTCCCACCCTGCCGCGCCACACCCTGCAGGTGGGTCGTCGGAAGCCCAATGAGGTGGCCCGCAGCCGCGCCCGCCTGGAGAAGCTGCGGCAGCAGCAGCAGCAGGAGGGCGCGCAGCTGCTGCCCTTCCTAGCAGCGCAGGCGGCCTCGCAGCAGCCGCCCGGACGGCAGACCTCGCCGCAAACCACCTTCACCACCACGTCTGCGGGGTCTGGGTCTGGATCTGCTCGGTCGTCTGGTTCGGGAGCGGGGTCTGGTGTAGCTCCGGGGCCGGCGGGGGGCCAGGCGCCAGTGGGGCCGGTGGGGTCGGTACCAGCGTCCGGACCGCCGCCGCACCTGGCACCGGGCGGAGTGGCGGTGCCTGTGACCGTAACAGTGACGGACACGGGGAAGGAGAAGGCGGTGGGAGGTGAGGAGGGCGGCAAGGCTGCTGCAGGGGAAGAGAAGGGGGGCGCAACGGTGGGGGTGTGCAGCTTTGACTCGCCTGTAGCGTGAGGATGCGGGCTGCGTTCTGGGCTTCCAGTGGTGGAACCATTAGAAGACGTGAGAGTGGGGCTGTGGGAGCTGGTTCGGGTTCGAGGGTTTGGAGTGGGCTCGTTGTCGTGCTGGGGCCGGCAGGTGGGTCCGGTAACACTTGCGAGGCTACTCGCAGGCGGGAGGTGAGGGGGGTTTTGCGATGTCCTGGACTGCGGGTGGCCCCAGCGGCATTCCTCCGCCGGTGTCTGTATATCTTAACACGAGGAATGAATGGCACAGAAGAAGAAGATGGGGCTCCTAGTATTACGCTTTGGAGGCTTACGAGGCGGTCGTTGCGCATTGCAAGTGTACAATCCGCTACCAGCCATGTAGTGGCCTCTCTGCTATACATGTGGCATACTACGAGTTATGGGTCGTAAGCGAAAGCCTTTACGCGCACGCGCATAAACTGCCGCTGGTGTTTTCGATTGTAGCTCCGTAGTGTCTGAGTTGTGTATGGTTTGCACCCGGTTTGCAGTGCTTCAAGGGCTGAGTGCTCAGCACGAATAAGCGTGGCCGGCTGACGCCTTTCTTCCAAACAAAACACATGTGGAGTTGGTTTATTATGTTGTCGGCTTTCGTAGTTGGTTGGTCGAATTGGGGCCTGGCCGTTGCTATGGCCTTTCAGGATCGGCTTCTAAGCCGCTGTTACTGCTGCTGGCTTCATTTCGTTAAGTTCAGTTGTTCGTCGCGTTCGTACGTGTGGTTTATGCAATTTCTCCGTTGTTTTGTGGCGTTGTGTTTTGGAAATCGCGTTGGCTAGGGTGCTGCTTGCTGGCGCTTACGTTGCGTGTGGCATAGCGGTCAAGGTTTCCTTTCATACTTGACAACTGTTTGCTTTCTTTCCGTCAAGTGCTGTAGGTAGGTGTTTGGAGCGGCGCTACTGGTGTTTTGGTTTCAACATGACGCTAATAAGCTTCATGGGTTGGGACTTCCCGAGACCCACCGGTACACACGGGGCGTCAGTTTTGCGGCCGGTTGCTGTGGCACAAGGAATGTTGTCTCATTGGAATGGTATTGGAGGAAGCAACAACAAGAACTGGGCCCCGTAGCTTTCTTTGGAACAGGGTGCTGAGCTGTACTGGGCCAGGGCCAGACGTGGTGACTGGTGCTTTCGGTTGTGTGGGGTAAAGAAGAAACAACTAAGTGACTGAGGGATAAGGCGTCAACATGGGGTGGGGGGTGGTTGTGTGTGGGGGGGGAGTGCTGCATGAAGAGAGTTGCCTGGCGCAGGAGGAACGCGATTGCGTTTGGAACATACTGGGAATGCATGCGGACGCGTGAAGAGGGGGCATGGGTAAATGCATGCTGAAAACTGGTGCGGAATTTCTCAGGCGTTGGGCAGCCAACTCAGATAGGGGCAACAATGGTTGTGGTGTCGTGACTTTCCTGGCGGGTCGTGAAATTGTGCTGAATGAACTGCTAGGGCTTGCCAGGTGTTGATTTAGAAGCAGTAAGCTAGCGGCACGCGCATTTTGGCTAGCTTTGTCATGTTTGGGTTGAAAGGAGTGAGAGCCATTATCATTCAAAAGTGAGAACCGTTGTCATTCAGCCGCGACGCATGCTAGCCACTTGGCTGCAGAGGCACATGTTAACAAGGCGAGATAAGGTCCTCAGGCTGGGCGCCGCATAAATCCAAGAACCAAAAGGAAGGGGGCCGTTGGAGAGGGCGTAGGCTCTGTCGTGCTGTCCATCCACAAGGGACCATTGGGTGTACCGGTAGGTTAATTTTTGGAGATGTACTGCGCTTACAGGTGACCTCTGTTTAGGCAGTTACGCAAAAAGCATCGGAGATACACCGACGAGTGGAGGGAAACCGACATGGCATGTCATGACGTCTAGGCCTAAGGGCCAATAAGATAACAGGAGAGATAGCGTTTGAAGGTAATCACCTGGCAACAGTAGGAAGGACAACGAACCCAAGCTTATTGCGACACGGCCTATGCGGTTTTCAGTCCATAACCGCATGTCGTCCTAACCCATCACCGGCACAATACATCACGGTACCCTCCCGGCACATTGGGCCTCAAGCTAGGAACCAAGCCTCTCTTGATGCAGCTCAACTTGAGACAATACAACACCTAGTAAATAACCATTGGGTTGTACAACAGGACCTCCCCGGACTTTGCCACCAACCATGCACACAGTCATTTGGCCAGCCTGGAACTATCCTTGCAGGAGAAACTTGACAGGCTTGCATCCTGCAACATGGTATCGTACGAACGAGAACCAGATCGGTACACTTTGGTGGCGGCAATTTTGCAGCGGGCATTGGCCTGGTCAACAACTACCTTCCAACCGAGGACCACATGCATCGATCGCCCCTCGCATGCAACACACATGTGTCCAAAACCACGTTCGAACGAAAAACAGTTTTTGCAGAAAGTTCAAGTACGGTGCACTCTGTCACACACATGCGAATGCACCCAGCACTTATTACGGTATGCGCACGCGGGAACACCCCCAGACATTCCAGCCCAAGTATTGGTTCCGGTAGTACACCCACACTCTTTGTCTCAGCCGAAAGCCACGTATTGCGAGGAGGGGCTAGCCACGATTTAGGCAGCAGCCTCCGAAACATACTTAAAACACTTCGCTACGGCACCTGCCGCACTGAAACTCTGGGTGCTCGACGACCAAAGATTTTTGTATGGCATTGTATGACATTGTAAAACACACAGACAACGCGAAATTAAGCGAGCCGTGCAACCGGCACAACCGTTACGACACCGTTACGACATGGTACTCGGTGGTCCGTCAATGGGTGGGATATTCTGTGCACGCATTTCGGTTCCCGCACTCCTAACATTAGACTGTCGGCCCCTGTGACCATGGCTGCAAAAGGATAGTGGTGGTTACGGGGAGTTGCCTGAACCGCCTTTCCATTGCTCCATGGGCCCATGACACTTGGTGCGATCATTAGGAAACACCGAACGACTAACACATGACATCACCTTTGTACGCAACGTCGCTTTAGACGTGATAGCCAATCCTTTCCTTCGAGATTGCCATGCAACATGCTGGTAGAAACGCGGCAACCCGGACAGCAGCGCGGATGGCGGCCTACAATGAAAGGTGATCAAGGAATAGGACTATTAACTTCATCACGCATGCAGTGACGCGTTCCCAGCTAACCGCTGCCACTCCAGTCCCAGGCCCTTACTTTCTACTCCTGCTGCTCCTACTGCTGCTCCTACTGCTGCTCCTACTCCTGCTCCTGCTGCTATCCCTGTCGCTGTGAGGACATTCCACAATAGCTACCGCTACCTCTACCCCAGATCTCGCGCGCCGATAGCCACCGCTGTATCTCTACCGTATCTCCCCACAGCTGCTGCTCCTCCTGTTGTCGTAATCGTTACCGTCGCCACTGCACTCGCCCGCTGGGCCTCCGCTAGGCAGTTCACATGGAGCGAGAAGCCTTCCGGCCCCGATCCCGAGCTATCCACGGCCTTAAGGCTGCAGCTGCTGGCTGACAGGTTACCGTGCCAGGGGCCAGGCGCATGGCTGCTGAGGCCGCTGCCAGTTGCTTTGAAGGCGGCGTGAGATTTTCCGGTGGGCTCTGAGAGACCGATGACGACGACTCTGGGATAGGGTTGGATAGGGTTGGGGATAGCGTTGGGGGTGTGAATGGGTGGTTGCAAGCTAGCGGCCTGCAGCACAGGGCAGTAAGCGCACATACAGCATATGCCTGCATGCCGTCCAGCGGGAGCTGGCTAGCCAGGGCGCCAACCCTACTACACGAAATGCGGATTTTTTTTTGTGGAACTGAAGGTCGACGACTGGCAACGATGCAGAGCAATGGCTTACCCGTGACGGGCCTGTGCCTCGCTGAGCGCGTCTGAGTCGACTGAGAAGGAGCGCCGGCGGTGCCTCCAGAGCAACAGCGCAGCGCACACCAGCAGCAGCAGCGTACCTGGGGGTGAGTTTGGCAAGCAGGCAGGCAGGCAGGCAGTAAAAGTGATTGGAGATGCATGGGATGGGTATAATGGTACCGGCTGCAGCGACATTCAGAAATGTACGGTATTAGCGGCCTGAAGGTCCCCACGAGCTGCTTCTGCCCATAGTATCTGAACTTGATGCCGGGCGAGCAAACACAGTTGCGCTTGCATGGTGGCAGCTTAGCTGGAAATGGAATGGCAGCTTCCCTCGGGCATCCACACGCTACACACACCTCCAACAATGGTCATTGTGAGGATAATGACCACTGAGTTGTGATCCAACCCCTTGCTCCAAGCGCTACCGTTGTTGCTGATGCTGCTACCGGAGTCCGCATGATGCTGCTCCCTAACCAACTCCCCCTGAGCTGCGGAAGGGGCTGTAGCAGCACCCACCGCTGCCATTGTAGCAACCTTTGTTGCTGCTACTCCCAGCAGCTACTCCGAGAGGATTTGCGTTGCCGTTGTTGCTGCTGTGTTATACGCCTCCCAACGAGTGCCGAAGCGCGGATATATCCGTACAGGATTCCTTATCTGACGGCTTGACACATGGCTGGCCAATGTACCGTAACAGTGGCAATGTTGACAGGCTGGGGGTGCACGCGGTACAGACGCAGGCTTTTCAGCAGCCGAAGGCGAGATCGTAGGCTGGGTTGAACTCGAATCGCGAAGGTCTGAGCTGCGGACAATTAAAGATGGCGTGCAGTGACGGAGATGGCACGGCAGCAGCGGTTAATAGCGTCTGTGGCTACCATAAGGCAAACATGCCGTGAAGGACCAGGTATCATTCCAAAGCGCCATTGGCTTTCTGTGTGACTTAGCAAACGCCCTGGTCGTAACCGCGCGGCAGCATTGCCGGACCGTTGTAACCATGAGCTGACGTGCCGGAAGCACGATATCATGCAATGCACCTGTAACCTAGCCATATGATAAACGCGATGCCGCCCATCTTGCTTTCGTCGGGGTTTGATGCGGGGCTTGCCCCTCGGCCTGATGTTGGAAACATGGGGCTCTCGGACTTTCTACGGCGGGCGCTCGCTAGCTTTTGTGCTACCAAAGCAGCTTATATAGTATCGGGGAACTACTCCGTTCCACAGGGCCGATAACCAGGACATATACATCTTTCTGCTCGCCCGCCCCGTCCGGCAACCAGTCATGGGTTGCACCCAAATCGGTTGGCAGCATTGGAGACCTACAAAACCTACCTTAGAAGGCACTCCGAGCCGAATCAATGCTTGCCACGGTTGCCAGGTGCATGCGCAATAGTGTGACTTGGACAATCAGGACCTCGCTATACGGTTAGGAAAAGGGCAGGTACGTAAGAGCAAGTAGTGGGAGATTTTGTAAAACTCCACAGCGAGATGAAGTGTCGAGTATTTGCCCGTCACGAGTACGGCAACCTCCGGACGTCGAGTTATGACATAGACAAACGAAAGAGACAATGAGGTACGTTAGCCTAAGGTTCATGCTCGGCATTAACAAGGTAATACTGATGGCCACAGCTAGGCACCTCTGGACTTGAACCCTAGCTGGCGAGAGCAACCGAGCTAGGCGAACTGAAGCCCTGACATGAAACGTCACTGCCAGACTGTATACATGAACTATCGCAACCAAAATTGCCAGCTGTTGCGGCTATTACAGGTTGTCGAATACCCTTAGTAAGTGTTAAGTGCTTACAGAACAACACGACAAAAGTATGGGTGTTGATATTCAACAAAAAAAGTTGTTAAACCTATCTGAACTCACGTCATAGTAGACGCGCGTTAACACGTTAACGCCTAACAAGGCGTGTAACCTCGTTCTGATCCGCGCTTTTTCCTATACCCACAACCTGCGAGCACCAAGGATTGATCTAGCCACGTCCGACACGTTCTCTGGTAGAGCGCTCATGACTTTTCCACGGACCCTCTTCCACCCCAAACCTCAGTTCAAGTACCCCACCATGCGTCACATTAAGCAGTTCTCTCCGCTCCCCTCAGCTCCCCTCTCACGTAACTTCACTCCGCTCTAGCCACTCAGCAGTCCTGATCTAATGGCTATACATCAAATCGCACTTCGCTCCTCTGCTCTCTGCGCCTGCGCCGTATCGCGAGCATTACAAGCTAATCGTGTTTACCACCACACTCCACACTCCCTCATGCACACCACGCCTTCGCACCCCACCGACCAGCGCTCATGACACCGCCCACCTGCAAAAACTCGTAGGCCACTCAAGTCAAGGGCCTCATAGCCCTCGCCCTTCTCCTACAGCTCATCAGCTGCTTCCACTTTGCCTCCCTACTTGCCCGACACGGCGCGCCTCTTCCACACGCACAAACCCCTTACCCTTCCCTCTACCGGTCCCCCCCCTCTTGCGGTTACTTGGAGCCTCAATTGGCTTGGTGTGCCTCCGCCCCGCCTCCTCACGCCCCCAGCCCCGCCGCCTGCGCCACCGCCAGCCCCGCCCCCGTGCCGCACGCGTACCCCACACTGCCCGCCAGCAGTGCCGGCTGCACCAGGCCCGACCAGCCCCGAGCGGCGGCCATGGCTGCGGAGGGACGGGGGGGGCCAGAGATACACCAAAACCACAGGTTATGGCAAAGCAATGCGGCGGGGGGGAGGCGAGGCAGCAGAGGAGCGAGGCAGGCGGGAGGATTAGGAGAAGGGCTTGAGGGCGGGGTGAAGGAGCTACCACTCAAGCCCCTCCTGCAACTCGCGACACCCTTTCCCGTGCCAGTTCTTATCGACGTACGCATCCATCTCACCAGCCGCACCCTCCCTCCCCCGTCGCCCCACACCCAAAGCCCCAGGGTATGTATCCTCTTCCCATCCCCTCGCCCCTCCTTCCAGCCTTAAATGTGGGCTTGGCGTTCCTTTCCCCTCCCAGCGCCACCCACCTGCCGCCGTGGCCGAGCCCCCGATGTTGGCGTTGGATCCCAGCAGCAGCACCTCCCGCGGCAGCCGCAGCAGCCCGCCACCCACCCCCGCCAGCACCGCCCAGTGCACACCCACCATCACCACCAGGAATGCAGGCAGCAGCAGCAGCAGGTGCGGGTGCGGGTGCGGGCCGGCGGATGTGGCGACTGCGGCGGCGGTGGCGCCTGCGAGGCAGTGCAGCGAGCCGGCGGAGGCGCCGATGACTGCGAAGAAGAGCGGCATCAGGCAGGACCCCAGTGCGGAGGCGCCTGGGTTGGGGGCAGGGGGGTGCGGGCGTCATGGAGCAGGGCGTGGGGAGGCGCGACGCACATGGGGGAGAAAAATACCGGTGGGAATGGCGGCAATGAAGAACGGAAAGGCGATGAAGCTAGCGCTCCGGTGGAAAAGGAAAGGATTCTGTGGCTTTCCTGGTCTGAGAAACGGAGAAGCGTCCCCCGTACAACCCGAATGCACACATGCCTGCAAAGACCGGGCCCGCTGGCTGCCCTTCCAGCGACCAACGGGTCACCAAGCGGCTCCGCAGCCACTGCGCCCCTCCCGACATGGCCGCCGCCACCAGCGCCATGATCGTCATCGTCAGCGGTACGGCATTCAGCGCTGCCGCCAGGTGCTGCGAGGCCGCGCAGGCCGCTGCCGCCGCCGCCAGCGTGAGACTAAGAGACTCGGCCGTCACTGGTGGCGCTGATGGGGACTGCGGCTGCGGCGGGGAGGGTGCTGTATCCGCACTTGGGGGCCGCTGCTGCAGCCATCCTGGCGCCGATGATGTCCGTGTTAATGGCTTTTCAAAGAGGTTTGGTTCCGGGGCAGCCCTGCCGGCCGCGTTTTCGGTTGCAATGGTTTCCCTTTCCGTCTCTGCCGCGTGTGCTGTGTCTTCAGCTCCTGCCAGTGCTCCTATTGCAGCTGCTGCCCCCACACGCTCTATGAGTGCCTCGCAAGCGCCCCCTCGTTGCACGCCCTCCACTTCCGCCTGCACCCCCGGCGCTGCCCCGCCTCGCTCCGACGACAGCCCCCTCCGGCCGTACATGGCAGTTTCCGGACTGCCGCCCACCACCACTACGGCTGCTCCCACGCCTGAAGACCCTTCTCCTACTCGCTCGGCAGCCACCGCTTTCGCCGCCGTCATCTCCGCCGCAGAAGCGGTTTGCCGTACCGGCACCGCCATGAGTACGGCAAGGAACGCTGCCATCATGAGGTTGTCGGCCGCCATGGCACCTGGCATGGCTGCGGAGGGGACACGGAGCGCCTGCAGAGGGGCGCGGGGGGTGCGGCGGGGAGGGCGTGTTAACGAAACTGCAGGGCGTGTGAGAGGGCACATGCGTACAAATCCCACACTGCACCCGGCAACTTGAAGCACCTCATACGTTACCGCTTCTCCGCCCCACCGCCCGGCCCGTACGGTCCCCCTCCACCCGCCTTGCCTCACCAGCGCCACGGCTGCGAAGTTGACGGAGCCCCCCACGTAGCTGGCGCACAGGCAGGCCGCCAGCTGGCCCCCCAGCGCCCCCAGCGGGCCCCGCAGCAGCAGCGCCCAGCCCGCCAGCGCACCCGCCACCATGCCCACCGCACCCACCGCGAAGGCTAGCAGCAGCGGCCCGCCGTCGGAGGCAAGCCTGGGGTGGCGGGCGAGAAGGAAAGCGGTGGGAGGAAGTGGTATGGTAAGGCACGACTATGAACAACACTGCTGGACACTAAGCGCTCCGCACTGCCTTCCAGGCTGCAACCCCTGCCCTAGATTGCCCTGGCGTGCCCTGCCCGCCAGCTAGTACAACAATCCCACCCCCTTCATCCCGCCCCGCGCCCCGCACCGCTGAACGTCCGTCTCCAGCAGGTAGCAAGCTGCAGCAAGCGGCATCAGATACCTCCACACCGTGTCGTACGCCGTACAGTCGGTTGGGATGATGCCGGCAGCCGCTAGCGCCACCGCGCATAGCATGGACAGCAGCGGGGCTGACAAAGCCGCACCCCACCGTGTGCGGTTCTCCGCAAGCTGTACGGATGCAGGGTTACACCGTCGAGGCGTCGGTAAGGGGAGTTGCAGGGAGGAGGAAGGATGGGTGAGAAACTGAAGGGCCCAAGATGGGGAGGGTGTATGGATGGAGCTGGGGTATTGGGAAGTGGCACAATCGTAGGTGCATTAACATTCAGTTAGTACCCCAGGACTGTCGACCGGCCAGGGACTTTGGGCATGCGTCTTGACGTTAATAGAATGCAAGCTCTCCACCTGGGCAAAGGCACCGCATGCTGCCAGAAGGGTCCAAAGGGGCCAGCCATCGTGGAAAACGGCAGATGACGTCGCTGCAACTGCCGACCCCGCGCCAGCACTGGCGGCCACGGCTGTTGCGACAGACCCATAACGTCTTCTAGCTGGTCGTCGCGGGATTGCCTGAATTGACACGCAATAGCGACGTCCATGCAACGAAGGCCTACAGCTTGCACGCGGGTAAACTCTACAGCTCACATTTTCAGCTCTAAGCCATGAACGTACATTCTGCACCATTTTGCATTTGAGCGTCGCATAAGGAGATGCCAGTATTCAATGCAAGATTAGCGAACGGCATGCTCCGAAGCCACCATTTCTTATGCATAGTTGCATACCATGTCTTTTCCGCTTTCCGCAGAGTCAGAGTGCATAGGACATAATGACAGGCTACTAAGGCCGCGTTAAGATTAAGGCTGCAAGCCTCACTTGGGCGCACCTGCCTTGTGCCTATTTCAAACCTGCCGGGCGGGAGTTGCCCGCCCGGCTTGACTCTTACCGAGACCACCTGACTACAATAACATTAAGCAAGCATGGGCTGCATTTGTTCAAAGCCTGTGGATAAGGCTGAAGATGGCCTGGAGCAAGGACCAGCCGAGGCTGTTCAGCGCACTGCATCTGTCCAGCAGAAGGATGCTGTCAGCGCTGAAGGCGGGTCGCCGGCTACAGTTGAAGCAAAATCTGGAGAGGATAGTCAAGGTAAGCCGCCGCAATTGACTTGAACCAATGCAGGCAGAGGTACCCTTGCATGGCGTCGAACATCCTAAAACCTTTTCCAGCACTGTAAGATGCCTTGTTTACAGCTTCTGGCGTTTTCGACTAGCGACCTTTGGGTACTTGAACATGATGGCTCACGCGTTTTAGCACAATGCCTAGTTTTTACATCTCACCATGCGCTGCTTGTATTCTGTTGGTGCAATCAAGAGCTTGCCGTTGCGCCATGTATGCGCGGTGATGAAAAGCGCCTTTGCATCTGCTGGAGCATTTGAACGTTGAGCGAAGGCTACCGTTGTTTGAAGGATACCTTTTTTGTCAAGGCAGGAAGGGTTCCCTGCTAATTTGGGGTGTCTGGAATGTAACGATGTCCTGCCTTGGTATGGACTCTTGCAGGCACCGCTGCGAAGTCACCAGAGATAGCCGAAGGCGCTGTTGCGGACTCAACCGCCACTGGAGCCAATGCTGCATCTGCCGCTGCTCCTCAGTCGGTTGAGCAGCCGGACAAGGATGGGAAAGAAAGCGCAGGCGTGGGGGCCAACACCACTGCCACAGACGTGAAGCCGGAGACCCCGGAAACCGCAGAATCTGGTGCCGAGGGCGCTGCGGCGACCTCGAGCTCAGCAGAAACCGAGCCTGTCCCGCAGAACATCGCCGTCGAGGCCTGCGCTGCAGCTGGCGCGGGCAGCTCTTCAGCCGCAGCGTCGGAGCCCGTAGCAGCCTCCCAGGCGCCTACCCCGCAAGAAGTTCCTGCTGAGAAGGCTATGACCAGTGCAGCTGATGCGGCACCTGCTCCCGTCGACATCAAGGAGCAGTCCACTGTGGACGCTGTGCCAATCGTCATTGAGGCTTCTTCTGCTACACCCAAGGCGTCCGATTCACATGACGGTTCCTCTGCCGTCCCCGAGGTCGCCCCTGTGGCGGAGCCGCTTGCTGCCGCCGTGTCCGGTTCTGCCGTGGAACCAAATGCGGCAGCTGATACTGCTCCGGAGGCAACATCTTCTCGTAACGTTATTGAGGAGACCCCGGCTGCGGCCGCTGTCAGCACTGCGTCAGCCACCGACGCCGCTGAGGATGCCGCCGTTGCGGCTATTGCAAAGCGCGTGGTCGCGTCTGTGGTAGCGACTGACGCCGCCGCTCAGGATGCCGCCGTTGCAGCTGTTGCAAAGCGCGTGGTCGAGTCTGTGGTAGCGGCTGACGCCGCCGCTCAGAATGCCGCCGTTGCAGCTGTTGCAAAGCGCGTGGTCGAGTCCGTGGTAGCGGCTGACGCCGCCGCCCAAGACGCCGCCGTTGCAGCTGTTGCAAAGCGCGTGGTCGAGTCCGTGGTAGCGGCTGACGCCGTCGCCCAAGACGCCGCCGTTGCAGCTATTGCAAAGCGCGTGGTCGAGTCCGTGGTAGCGGCTGACGCCGCCGCCCAAGACGCCGCCGTTGCAGCTGTTGCAAAGCGCGTGGTCGAGTCCGTGGTAGCGGCTGACGCCACCGCCCAAGACGCCGCCGTTGCGGCTATTGCAAAGCGCGTGGTCGAGTCGGTTGTAGCAGCGCAGGATTACGCTGCTGACAGCCCAGCCTCTGCCGCCACCGCAGCAGCTGCAAGCTCAGCCTCTGTGGAGGAAGGCGCTGCCCCTGAGGTCGCGGCCGAGGAGCGGGTCTCTGCTGACGCGGCCGACAGCGCGGAGGCCGCTGTAGCAGGCGCGCCTGCCGCTGACGAGGCATCGGCTCCGGATACGTCCGTCGCTGAGCTCCAAGCCGAGCGCGCAAGCCAGCCGGCTGCAGCGACCGAAGCCGCTACTACGGCATCACCGGAGGCAGAGGCGAGTACCGAGGCCCCTGGTGCCGCGGCGGATGCACCTGCGGAGACGATTCCCGAAGCAGCGGCTTCCTCAGAGGTTGCAGTCGTTGCCGCACAAGTACCGCAGGACGAGGCTAAGGAGGACGCCGCTTCTGCTGGTTCCGCCCTGGATGCTCCTTCGGTCGCCGAGTCTAAGGAGGTCGAGGAGCAGGGCGATGCCGAAGAGTCTGCTGCTGCGAGCGTCGCTGAGGTTGGGGCAGGCGCAGACGTTGCTGCTGCTAAGGAGGCTGAGGGGGCATCTGCTGTCCCGCCTCAGGAGGCTGATGCGGCTGTGGACAGCGCTGCTGCTGCTGACGAACCTGCAGAGCCAGTTGCTTCAGAGGCTGCAGCGTCTGCGGCGGCTGAGGACAGCGCCCAGACTAGCGAAAGCCACGTTGCAGCTCCGGCTCCGGATGCACCAGCTGAGGAATCCACGGAGCCCGCAGCAGACATTGCCAGTGTGGACACCACTGAAAAGCAGGTACCGGTCACCGCGTCGGAGGTAGTTGCCGATGCAGAAGAGCCTGCGTCTTCGGCTGCACCGACTGAGCCAGCCGCTGAGCCTGAGCAGGCCAAAGAGGCAGTTGACGAGGCCAACATTGCTGCACCCGCCACATCGGAGCCCGTCGCGGACTCCTCCCCTGCTCGCTCCCGGCGCTCTTCTGCCGTGGGCTCGCCTTCGGAGTCTCCTCGAGTGGTTCGCACCGCCAGCGGGGAGCTCGTCGCGACCGTACCTCGGGAGGTGGCTAGCGAGGTGCTGGAGGCCGCATGTAGCGAGGTCCTCAGCGCCAAGGCAACCACTGCGGACGGTGTCCGGGCAGCCCGTGCGGTGGCTTCTCGCCGCTCCTCAGGCTCTGGTGTGGACTCCCAGCCGGCGTCCCCGAAGAGCGGGGCGCCTGCGGCAGAGTGCGTTGCCAGCAGCTGCGAGGCTGCCAGCTCCACCACAGACGCACCTCCTGCCACTTCAGGTACGCGTTGGAGGTTAGGCGAGCGCTGGTTAGTGGTATTGTGCAGCTGCTAAGGCTGGCACGTGGGCCACTTGCATAGTCAAGTCGATGGGTTGATGAGGAATTATTGCCTAACGCGTTACACGCGGATGACGGCTGTTTTTCAAAGTTCTCTGACCATCATGTGGCTGGTTCGCGTTTGCTATTGACTATTTAGCATCTGCGTTGACCATGACTTGTTAGTGTGGTAACCATGCTCACTTCGTGGCAGCTTTCCTGCCATGAAACAACACATGCCCTTCTCGCTTTTCCCAATCTCTGCAGATTCTGATGCCACGACCACAGCTCCAGCGCCACCTGTCGTTAGCACGCCGCCGGCTGATGTTTCCGTCAGCGCAAGCGATGCCGGCAACAATGTCCCTTCCGCGTCATCAGGCGCCGAGACCGTTGCCGCAGCCGCATCCGCCAACCCCAAGCCGGTTACTAACACTTGGCTCAAGTCCGGCGTTTCCTTCGCTGCCATTGTCGCAGCGGCGAGGTCCAGGTCCGAAGGCGGAGCAGGGCGGAAAACCAGCTCGGCGGGTGCCAGCAGCGCCGCGGCTCCGACTGGCGGTGTTCCCAAGGCTGCTGCAGCACAGGCATCTGCTGCTGCTGACACAACCGCCGCCAGCACGGACTCCGCTCCTGGTTCGGACGCGGCAGAGCCAACAAGTGCGGATGAGGCTGATGTGGCTGCCGTAGTGGCCGAGATCGGGCCTGCGGCTGCTGCTGCTGCGGCGTCGCTGGCGGCAGGGGCGCATGCAGTCCGCGAGGAGCCCCCCGAGCTACCGGAGCTTGACACCCCGACCGCGCCACCCGCCGATGCTGCAGCCCAACCTAGTCTGCCGCGCGCCGGCAGCATTGGCGCTGCAAGGACAAGCACCGGAGGCGGCTCCGTGTCAGGATGGAGGAAGGACCGGACCTTTGCGGAGATTGTGGCTTTGGCGGCCGCCGCCGCCACCAATGCACCACGATCCTCTGGTGGCGGTGCTCGCTCTTCCGGTGGCGGCAAGAGCCAAGGGGGCGCAACGCCAAGGTCAGCCGCCGCTGCTGCTGCGATTGCTGCTGGCGTTGACCCGAAGGCGCGGGGCGTGGTGAGCGCGGGCGGCGCGTCGGTTGCACCCGGTGGCGGTGCACCCACTGGGAAGTCCCGCTTTCCCCGGAACATCAGCTCCCTGGCAGTGGAGGCGCTGGCAGTGGCCTCTGCGATGGCCTCCTCCTCGACTGCTGGTGTGCAGCTTGTCATGATGGATGCGGGCACCTCGCATGCCGCCCCGTCCCAGCCTCCAGCGGAGCCGGTTGCCCCAGAGAAGCCGGCAGAGACCGTCCAGGCTGATGCAGCCGCTGGGTCCGGGCCTGCTAGAGAGGAGGCTCCGGTGGTGACGCCAGTCGTGGCGACTGTCGCTCAGCAGCCTGCTGCGGTTGCGTCGACCAGTTGGGCTGACGAGGTAGAGGCTGAGGAGGTTACCGCGGTCACCGTTACCCCTGCTGCTACGGTTGCAGCGGTTGCAGTTGCTGCGTCGACCACCGCAGGTGAGTCGGTTTCCAGGCGTGGCTTAGGACGTCGTGTTGTAGCATGCGCTCCGACAGAGCAGGTAGCCGCGGCGGTGTAAAGGATTTGCGTTTATGCGCTCAGCGTCTTGAATTGCCCTGGGTTGGCTTGTTTCTTTTCTAGTATTCTAGTCTGTACACGTCTCCACTCTACTAGATGCCTGTTAATGCTCACGCACAAACACCCCTTTTGTTACTTATTCCCTTGCCGTCAATGCACGCCTCAGAGCCGCCTGTGCCGACATCGACGCCGCCCCTCCCGCGTGTCACGAGCTGGGCCACCATCGTCAAGCGCAACACCCTAGGCGGCTTGCCGGAGGACTCCACCCCGCCCTCGGCAGCACTGTCGCGCCAGAGCAGCTTTGGTCGGCGCTCTATTGGCGGCAACACGGACGCTGGCTTCTCAACGTACGCGCGCAGCGTCGGAGGCAGCGCGCGGCCTCGTCCTCCTCCTTCCGTCGCTGCTACCTCCACCGCAGATGAGCCCCAGTCGTCTGGCGCTGCCGCCACCGGCCCATCTACCAACACAGCGGCGCCTGCTGCGGCTCCTAGCGGTGAGGCGGCGGGTGCCGCCGCTGGCGGCGAGGACGCGGGTGGTGCTTGGGTTGAGGCCAGCAGGCGGCGGAAGCGGCACAGCAGCGTTGACAGCCGGTACTCGGCGGTTGATAGCCGGTACTCGAAGAGCAACGGCGGGCGGGGCAAGGGCGCCGGGCATAACAACAAGCGTGAGGGTCGGCCAGCCAACAAGCGCCGGCATTAGGAGGCCGGCTTAACTCCGCCGATAGTTTGCGCCAAGCTTCGGTGTGTGCAAGTCGGTGATGGCGTCTGATTTGCGAACGGGAGAGTATATGTAATATGTTTAAGTATGGAGAGTTGGAGACCCGAGGCGCGCATCATGATGCGACCTGTAGCTGACGTGATTCTTAATTCAGGTTCATAAGGGTACAACGACTTCCGTGACTTGTGATTGGAATTTGTGTCATAGGGGTATTCAGAGGGCACGAGCCAGCAGCCTTCCGAAAGAGCGGCGGTTAGGAGCGTACGTGATCCTCCTAACCTGCCCGACTAACCGCCCGCATCGATCTTGTCGGTTTCCCCTATCCTAATCTGTGGTTTCGTGTTCTTTGTTGTTCATATGTGCTCGACCTGTAGCATGTGGTATGCGGGACTTATCATGACTTTGCCGGACTGAGCGTTCATATTCAATAGCACCTTGCTCGCCTTGCTTTCCTTGCCGTCGTCATTCCGAAACCCCCTGCTGACTGATACCACTTGCCTTGACACAAAGCAATCGTTGGTGGACACAAGTTGGAGTTGCCAGGGTGGGGCGGGGGATGTGCCATTTATGGTATTAGCGTTTAGCTTACGGTTTGGATGATCCACTTACTAAGTGCATGGCTTACCAAGTGACCTTTGCAGCTGTACCTTGATGGGTCCCGACTAGAGCGTGTTGTGGTGCGCTCTGTTTCCCTATGCGGTTAATGCACCGTGTCTGTTTTTTCGGAATGCACAACCATTCGTTGTGCCGCTTGGCAGCCCGCATGTTCTTGTGCACGCTTCTCACAGGAAACCCTTGTAAGTATTAACGCATAAAGCTTGATACCGCCCCTACTCGCCGGTGCCTGGCCGCTGACTCCTCACGGACGGCTACAATGGGGGCAGCACCCCTACCTCCCCTTTAGCATTGCATTCCGGATCCGACTAAGCACTAGGCACACGGGGTAAACCGTGTGCTGCCCTCGAATATGCACGTCCTGGGTGCAAGGATAGGTCCGGTGCTGTTTGAAGAGCACCCGAAGTATGCGGGCGCGAGGGGCAGGTACGTCTTGTTCGCGCTATACACAGCCGTACGGAAAAGTATTGCTCTAGCTTTAGATTTAGGCAACATAACTGAGGACAGTAATCTGCGTTATCATCTTATACCTTCCTTTACCTGTCAGCAAAGAGCTTGTATCATACCGGTACCTGCGGAGTAATGCAATGTTTGTGCATCTTGGGGGTGACGAGAACTCCAAGCCTACTTACTTTGAAGTAATTGCAGCGGATCGATTGGTTCCTAGCTTAAAAGCGGCGGTCGTCTACGCGCTATCGGTACGTTAACACGGCATTGCGAGCATGGAACAAAGTAGCTCGGGCTTGTACTTGCTTACGACAGTCATCTTACACTTTATATCTAACTTATGGGACCGCGATAAGCGCAGGTCTTTTCCCAGCGGCACCCATGGGTCCATCGACTGCTCAACTACGACGATGAGGTCTTTGCTCTCTTAACACTCTTCCTAGATGGCCACTCTTTGCTTGCCTCGGATAGCACCTTCGCAGACAGCCTGTATGGCCTCAAGCGCAAGCCGCTGCGGCCAGGCGCAAGCCCTGTCGAGCGGCTAACGCGCCGGCAGCGCTGGCTCATCCTGGCCTGCCAGGTGCTGCTGCCGTACCTTCGGGCCAAGGCGGATAAGGCCTACCGGCGATCCTCCGCAAGCTCGGGCATTCTAGGTCTCGCAATTCAGTATGGAGCCTCTCAGGTATGCTGCCGCGCAGGGCAGGTCTAGCTGCGACGGGGTTGGAGGAGGGGGCGTAACCGTGCGCCCCCACCACGCGACAAGGCAACTTAGCGAGGCCTCTGGAATGAACCCTAACCGACCTTGCCCTGATGTGCTGCTGTTGATTCAACAAGCCAGCTAGGGCGCAGGGATTCGCCTTCCTTCCCATGCCGCCGCATGTTGCGTCACCGCCGCCTTCTGGCGCCAGTTGCCTCTGCTTTCCTCAACCAACACAGCCCATCTGGTGTCCCTCCTCCAGGACCCCTCCAGCCCGGATCCAAGCAGCCCCAGGGCCCCGGCAGTCAGCAGCAGCTGGCGGGGCCAGCTGCGCGGGGCCCTGCTGGCCGCCTACCCCTGGCTGCATGCGACCGTGGAGGTGAGGGCCGCCCCGCTGCAGAGGGGGACTGCGCGGGTTTGCTAGGTCCACAGGGTGAACCTGCGCTGAAGCTCCTGTGTATGTCCGCGGGAGATGGTACAGGGTACCGTATCATCACCTTCGTACCGTAGCTCTTCAGTTCTGCTGGCTGGCTGTAGTTGCTGTCTCCATTACATGCGGCCCTCTTACCATCCTCCCTTTTCCTCCTCCTCCTCCTCATCCGCCTCCTCCTCCTGCTTCTTCTTTTCGATGTCGACTTCATTGTACGGCACCGGTACAGGGTGTCACGTTCGCCTACCACCTGTCGTACCTGCTAGGGGCAAGCCCCGTACACCACCCTGTCCAGCACGTAAGTAGCAGATATAACAGGTAATGGGAAGTTAAGTGAAGGAACGGGCCAACGGAAGAACCATGCCATGATCGATACAAAATGATGAGAGCGACGGTCCGCGATGGTGGTACGGCGATGACCTTTGAGCTCTCCTTACGATTAAAGAATGGCCAACGCGTGTTGCCTTGGAATCCCTCGGAGATCGAAGGCTGGGCTTATGCGCGTAAGTAAATAAGGAGTCCCACTAACGTAGGCTGCTTGCTGCCTGTTACCCACTGCTACACGCCGTGACGTGTGTTCTGACTGGCGTCGGCGGTTCGACTGCATGCCCGCGCAGGCGATCGGAGTCAGCATGGCTCGGACGTCGGCGCAGGATATGGTGGGTTGGGTGCTTGGGTGCTTGGAGGGAAAGGGCCCAAAAGGGAAACGTACAACAGGTTGCACAGTCGCCGTGGCACCTGTACAAGCGGACGGGCGGTTCGGCATCATTGTTCCCCCTGCTGCCTTTTCCGGCTGCATGACGGCCGGGCTGTGCAGCGACAGCATCGGAGCACCGCATTACCTTCCTCGCGTTCCTTCCTTCCTATTGTCTCTCCCCCCCTGCCTCGCCCCGTTATGCCTTACAGATGGCCGCTGAGCGGGAGAAGCAAGAGAGGCGCCGAGCACTGCTGACAGCCTGGCTGGGACCGCAACTCGCCTACCGGCAACAGCCGCAGCCGCCGTCGCAGCCATCCTTACCTTCGTCAACCCCCCTTCCGGGAGTCTCCGGCCTAACAGCTGCGGCGGGCGCTGCTGCCGGTGGTGCTGCCGCTGCTGCTGCCGGCCGCAGTGCTCCTGCTGCTGCCGCTGCTGCTGCCGCCGGTGCAGCTGCTGCTGCTTCCAGCCCCAGCCTGGCCTCCTGGCTGCGCTGGGCCGCAGTCCGCGGTGTGCTGGGCTGCAGGTGGCTGCTGGAGGACCACGCGAGGACCGCCCTGGTGCTGGCAGTGTTTGGGTTCAAGGTGGGGCGCGGTGCGGGGCAGGACAGGGTTAAGGGGGGTGCAGGAGGGTGAAGGAGGGTGAGGTGCTGTGCACGGTACGGCACTGTACATGGCCCCAGGGGTTGCTTGCAGGCAGGCTGCGTAGGAGCAAAGGCGTGCGTCCTACAGCATGACCGCCTGGGCTCAACCGCACCGCCCTCCACGAGCCTTGCCGCCCTTCATGCAGCCGACCCACTGCTCCTTGGCCTGCTTCTATGCTTCTCATCACACCCCCTGCTTCACTCTCTTCCCTGACCCTGCTGCATCCCTACTCCACAACCCTCCTCTTCCTCCTCGCGGCCCCGCAGGCTCTGGAGTGGTGGTACACCACCGCAGAGGACGCGCTAGCTCGCGGCAAGGCGCTGGCGCCGCCCCCCCCGCCGCCCCCGCCTCGGCCGGTGCCCCCGCCCGCGGGTGTGGGCCTCCCGCCCGACCCCTCGGACTGCCCGGTGTGCAGGTGAGGGTGTGGGAAGAAGAGCGCGGGTTGCGTGAGGGGCAGTACACGGCTTGAGGGTTCGGTGTGCGGGGTTTGCGGTGCTGGGTGCAGGCCAGGGGAAGCCAGCACTAGGGTGGGTTGGGTGTGGCATGCCGAGAGATGGGTTGTGCAAGACGCAGACCTAGTTAGGACCCAGGTTCAAGACGTAAGTATTATTGTGTAGACCACCAAGGCCCTGCCCTCCTTCACGGAGCGGGTGGCGGCATTGGAGGCTGTACCGATCCTGGGAGGCCATACACCGTACGGGGCACCAGGCCGTGCGGCGGCACCAGCAGCAGGCAGACAGCGAGGCGGCCGTCTGCAGTCGCGGCAAGTCCTTCGTGGAGCACTTCACCAACCAGGCGCACGGCACCTACTGCCTGCCTGTCCAGCACTGCGCGTTGTTCCGCCTCGGCGAGCCGGACTGCTTTGAGTCGCACCGGTACGCTCCGCACGACACCGGCCTCTTCGGCAACTTCCTCCTGAACGGGCAAGGGAAGTTTGATACCGGTGGGATTATAATCTCACCGGTATCAAACTCCCCTCGCCCATTGAGGAGGACGTTTCCAATCAGCCCAGCGTCGTGCGGAGCGTACCGGTGCGACTCAAAGCAGTCCGGCTCGCCGAGGCGGAACAATGCGCAGTGCTGGACAGGCAGGCAGTAGGTCCCATGCGCCTGGTTGGTGAAGTGCTCCATGAAGGACTTGCCGCGACTGCAGACGGCCGCCTCGCTGTCTGCCTGCTGCTGGTGCCGCCGCACGGCCTGGTGCCCCGTACGGTGTATGGCCTCCCGCTCGCCAACGGGCGGGCCCTTGTCGGTTTGAACGTCTTGACATACACCTTGCATGCCTAACTCGAAAAGGACCTGGAGGCTTGCTTCCAGCCTGCTGCTTCACGAACGACACCGCTCGGATGCTGCCTCCTGCGGCCCCGACCACTCTACAGCCCATCACCTCCTTTCCCCCTTCTCTCCCCCTCCTTCCCCCGCTCTCCTGCCCAGGCACCGCACCACCAACCCCGCCACCATCGCCACCTCCGGCTACGTCTTCTGCTACCCCTGCGCGCTGGGCGCTGTGATGCAGCACGGCCGCTGCCCCGTGTCACACCTGCCCGCCTCGCTCGACCACATACGCAAGCTGTATGAGGCGTCGTAGGGGGCTGCGGTGAGAAGGAAGAAACCGAGAAGTCCGCATGCCTGAAGCCCACAACCCAGGAAGTGCTGAGTGGGTGGGGTAGGCATGTGGGTGAAAGAAGAATACCCAGGTGTGTTTGCGGACAATGGCAAACGAGGTGACAAGCCCTGGGGGAATTGATTTGAGGCATGTGGGTGGGAGGCGGGTTGAAGGCGGTGGCAATTAGCGTGGAGGCTCACTGGAGATTACCGTACATGAGTGCGAGGGGTGGGGTACAGGACAACAGGAGTAAAGAGTGTGCGAGTCGGAGGAGGGTGCTTTGCTGTGAATGTCGCTTGTGGTGCTGCCGCCTCGGCTAAAGCCGTCGCGCGCCAGTATTAAGGTGGAACTTGGCAATGTATCGCAGCGCTCTCAAGACGCATTCCCTATGCCGCGTGCAGTGTTTGTTGCGCGCTGCTATCGTGACTTTGGAAGGCTGGAAGGGACTTGACGCTGACGCTGCATAGTCAAAATGGCTTTGCCTAGAGGGACGTAGGGAGGCATGGTTCAGGAACTTTGGGTCTTGCTGAAGTCCTTCAGCACTTCTGCGTTAATGGGCTTAGGGGGAATTGATGGTTTGTGAGTAGTGAAGTTCTTGCGGTCTGGCCAACATTGCCAGCGGCGGGAAGAGAACCTGCGCTGCATAGCGGTTCATGAGATTATCGCCTGACATTACCGGTATGTGACTGATTATCCTGGCGTGTTGTTGCAGCGTGGCAAGCAGCAACCGGTAAAGGGCCGCATGAACGCAGTCGCAGCCATGCGCGCCAGATTCACTGGGTGTTGCCGTACGGCCAAAATTGGCTTTAGGCGAGATTACAGGCCTACCTTCGTTCGGACTCCACTGTAATAATTGTATGCCTTAGAATTATGCCATCAGTTTACTGCGCGACCATTAAATAGTTAGTGGGCGCAAGGCAAGGTATTGGCAGATGACCCTTACCCGCCGTTGGCCGTCTGCTTTTCTGCTGTTGATACTAGGTTTAGTAGGTCCGCCTAGCGTTAATACTCAAAGGATAAACACACCTCAGGAGCCTGACATAGTGTCAAAGGACGAGGGCTCTGGTGTTTCCTCGCTGCCAGGACTTCTCGTGAACCAGCACCTTTATGTTCACGGGTGGGTGTTTTGAAATAGGGATTACAACCGATCATGCAGGAACTCGCGGCTTATTGCCATATTGTGTAACTTATATGTAAAGCGACGGAGCCCATAGTGATTCAAATCTGCTTTTTACAGCGCATATATTGTGATCATGTTGCAGGGACGTCGTTTGGGGGCCTGCTCTGTTTTCGTATGGGGCACGCGGAGCAAGCAAGGCGCCCGGCTCGAGGATAGACGGGAGCAGTCGCAGACATTATAATTTAGCAGCAGGCAGACAGCTTCAAGGCGAAGAGGATGAAGATCTGCAACCTCTTGCGGCGCCCATGCCATCGGCGTCAGGGTCGGCGAGCGAAACAATGGGGCCCTCAGCCGCAGCCAACGACCCACGGGTCATTACGGCCACGCTGGCGGCAACCATAACTTGCGGCGGCGCCGTCGTGGCAAGGGTAAGAAAGGCACAAGCCGTCAAACATAGCCGGTGACGCAGGCATTCCTTCTGCAGTCTCGCCGCCTGGATCCGCACTCTGGATGCGCTTGTTTGACCTTCATTTATCATAGCCATTATGAATGCGCGGTGATACGAACTTCTCACCATTCCGTGCAGGCGAGGGATCGAATCCAGATCTCGGAGGATCTCCTCAAGGCGGCGCAGGCTGCTCCTGGTATGTACGACATCCCACATGCTCCGTACGGGGGTACGACAGAGGCACCGGCAGGAAGAGTGGCCAATGCCGCACCCAGCTCGGCGAGTAGCCCTGACGTGGGCTCTGGAGGCCCCGGCGAGGGATCCTTAATGGGCGACGACGGTGCGGCTAGCGCCCGCGAGCCAAGGCTTCCATTCTCTTTCCTTTTCAGCCTGCCGTTCTCAACCCCGCAACCCAAGGCAACGTCCAGTGGCAGCGACAACGGCAGCGGCGCCGCCAGCAGCGGCGTTCCAGCGGGCGCTTCCGCTGCCTCCGCCAGCAGCCCCAGCACACCACCCGTTGGGCCTGACGGCGCGGCCCTCCAAGGTGCGCCGCCGATCTGCTCCTTTGGTACCCGGTACTTAATAGCTGACGAGGACGGCTCAGAAGCCTTCATGTCACCATCCACGTCCGCATCCTCGTCCTCGAATGCCATGGAGGAAGGAGGTCCCTCCCAGCAGCAGCAGCACCCGCAGCACCCGCACGGCCTGCCGCCGCCGCCGCCGCCGTCGCAGCAGCACCGGCACCGGCGGTCCCTGTCGCCCGGTCCCTACCGCGTCATGGTGCGGCTGCAAGTGCCGCTGCCGGACGGCCAGCTCGCTACCTTTGTGGCGCATGGGGATACCTCGGCCGGCTATGCTCCCGAACTCACCTTGGACGCCTCCTCGCTCAACCTAGCCGTGTTGATCCCGCCACCGCCGCCACCAACACCGCGACAACAGCGTTCGACTGCTCCACTTGCCCCGCCAAGGCCCGAGCATTTACCTGCATCTGGGTCGGTGGCAGATAGGATTCACGACGCAGGAGAGCTAATGGCAGTGCCGAGCGGTGTAAAGGAGCGGCACTCGCCAACAGGACTGACCCATGGGTCATCCAGCCAGCCAGCAGTTCCGCCGGCGGTGCAGCCGTTTGAGCAGCACGCTAATGCGGCACTTCAACACTGGCTTCAGCTGCAGGGCGGTACGGCAGGTGTACGGTACGACGTCCATGGCAGCGGGGTGCCCCGAACGGGTCAGTTGGACGAGGCACCGGTCCACATGGCCGTGTGTCGTAGCGGCAAGGTCAGGGGCCTCATGTCAGCCCCATCATGGCTTGGTTTTGAGCAGGAGGACTGCTGCCCAGCGTTTCACATATCGCTGCGGACGCAGTCGCTAGCGCAGGGGCTGCCGGTGGCGGCGGCGACGGCGACGGCGACGGCGGCGACGGCTGCGGCGGCTGCGGTACGTCCTGGAGCGTCCGCGGCTTCGGCGCAACCAGCGGCAACCAACCTGGGGGCACAGACGACGCGGAAGGGAGCCTCACAGGGCCCTTCGAGTGAGTGGGGCTTGGGCATGCTGCCGGCTCCTTGCTTGCGAGGCGCCGAATCCGCCGTGTTCTTTGTTCGTCGGCGCGTTTGTTGCTACATTTCTGACTGTGCAATGCAGGGGGTGGTGTTCAGGGCAAACCGCCGCGAACAACGCCGTCGCCTGTGAAACCTACCAGCGGAGGGTTGCTGTTGGGACTTGGCTGCGGGTCTTTGCTTGGCAGCCTGATCACGGCAGTTGTAATGGCGGCGATGGCTCGGCACCGCCAGGCGACGGCGCCTGAGGGCGTCATAGGTGCCACCGACGTCGACGTCGCATACAACCAAGCCGGCGGTGGATACGCCGGGTGCGGGTACGCCGGCGGCGTTGACGGAGGCGACCCACGGGTCTACGGGTACGGCGCACCCGAGGGGACCGCAGCGTACGGCGACGGCGGCGGCGGTGCTGGCGATGCTGGCGGCGTCGGATACAGTAACTGGAACGGCGGCGGAGAGGGAAACAGCGGTGGCGGCGGCAATGGCGGTCCTTCCTTGCTTCAACGCGCAGCATCGGGCTTGGCGAAGGCACTCCGGACGCCCATGCGGCGGGAGCCGTACGGCGGCAGCATACCTGAGGATGACGTGTACGGCGGTTACGAGGCTGGCGTGGGTGGGAACAACGCGGAGATGGCTGGGTTGCTGGAGGGGTCTGGAGAGGCGCGGGGGATGGTGGGCGAGAGCGGTTCCGGTAGAGCCCGAGGGAAGGGGCGCTGGCGGGGCGGTTTCAACGAGGACGCGGACGGCGGCGGCGGCGGGAACGAGGGCAATGGCGGCGGCGGCGTCAGCGGCTTGGTGGGATCCACCCTGGCTCAGCTGTCACCTAGCGTGCTCAAGCTGCTAGCTGCTGGTGAGGAGCCAGCAGGGGCTCGGGTTGGGGCACCGGTACCGCAAAAACCGCAAGAGTCTTGGGAAAGCACGGGATGCAGCCTTAAGCATGCCGCCCTGCAAGATGTGTCTAGTCTAGTCTACCAGTATCGTTCTTAGCCTTGACCTGTTGGGGCCGCATGCTCACACGTTGCACTCGCAATGCATGGTGCTTCCCCCCTCCGTGTGCCACTGCAGGCCGCGGAGCCGGCGGCGCCTGGGGTCGCGACGAGGACGGCCGCTTGCGTCGCTTCAGCGCCCGCACCACCCGCATCCTCAACAGCATCCTCACAACCAACGCAGCAACAGCGGCGGCAGGCGGCGGCGGCGGCCCCAACCCGCTGCCGCCGCCGCCGTCTGGACAGCGGCGGCTGCAGCAGCCAGCGGGCGGCGGCGGCGAGGGCTCAGAGGCTGCGGCGGCATTGGCTGGCCATGTGCCCGCCTTCTCTCCTGCCCTGGAGCCTCAACTGCAGCTGTGAGCGCCGGTGGTAGTACGGCAGTACGGCAGCTATGGGGCTGAGAGGAGTGGCAAGGCTTGGTGGTAGCAGAGTACTGGAGGTGCTGCACTAGAGTTGTGCGGACGTGCGCGCTTGATGATTGGGTGGTGGTGGTGCTGCTTGGTGGTAGTGCTGTGGGGTGGGAATATGTTTGCATGGCGAACATGTGGAGGTCAGCGTTGGGAAGGGTCGCCAGAAGCCAAATGCCCTGCGCGTAAAGGTGTTCGGCTAGCTTGCATGCTCCAAGCGAATGACCCATAGCCAAGGTTAATGTGCGCGCGGAGAGAGGCGGGCGTGCAATGCGCACGACATATCAGTCGTCGGTGTAGGTAGCGCCTTTCAACATAGTCAGAAAATAGGATCGTGACGTTGTTTAGGCGTATGTAATGACGTGCGGGAGATGTGTGCAACAATTACTAGCTTCGCATTGTGGGTTAGGATAGACAGATAGGAGCAGGGTGGAAGCAACGATACATGCCTGGGAACAGGACATGTTAGGCTGTATAGTCGGTAGCAGGATGGCGATGCAGGATGCGGGAGGCCACCACCAGCAGTACGTGGACAGTACCGGAAGGGTGGTTGAAGTCGGGAGGTTGGATTAGGGTGGTTGAAGCAGGGTGGTTGAAGTAGGGTGGGATGCGGCGAAGCAGGCAGCAGGCGGTCATGGATGGGCACGTGTGGAAGGCCAGCCGGATGGCGCCCAAGCTTACATGCGACGCAGTGTTGGCAACTATAAGGCCATCAGACAACGCATGTAAGCTTGCAACGCAGGCGCTACCAACGCAGGCGCTACCCCAGATTCTTCTACATGTCTGCTTTAGGCCTCTGGTTGTACGTAGCGTCGCCCTTCTTCACAACCGCCAGCACAAGTGTTTGGCACCCAATTCACATCACAACATATCAGTCTTGGAACTTGCCAAACGCTCCTCTCTGAACCAACCCGAGGCCACGCCAATGTCGCCAAACCCTCGTCATACTGCCTCTTTCACACCTCTCCTACCCCTATGCATGTAACGTCACTCACCACACGTGATCCACCCAACCGCTCACCCTTCTTCTCACCCTTGCTGCGTATTCCCTGCCTCCGCTACCTCCCTCGCAGCGCACAGCATAGCATCCGGATCCGCCACAAACCCGATCTCACTCTCCACATGCATCCAGGCCACACTCCCCTCCCCTCCGTCACCCCCTCCGCTGCGCCGGATAATCATGGCCCCGCCCATAATCAGCCCCTCCCCCCTAACGTTATGCTCCTTGACGTTCTTCGAGGCTGCACGGATGCGTTGCCACACGCTGCCCCAGGGGTTCAGCAGCCCCAGCACGCTGCCTCGGAGGGGCGTGCCGCCGTTGAGGGCGGCGTAGAAGGACTTGGAGGTGTCGTGGTAGAGGGGCCCCGGCCAGAAGGCGGGGCTGAAGGCCTCGATCTGCAGCGGGGTTCGGGGCATCGGGGGGGCGACCGGGTGTGCTGCGGGTTGGGACGAATCCGCCGCGGGTAACTGTCCAGGGCCAGGGTTTGGGGTCCTGTGGAGGACTCGCCAGGGAGTGACGATGGCACCATCCCTGCTGTGGCGTGCAAGGTGTGGCGGAAGCGTGCTCGGGCTCTGGGGTTCCATGCGTTCATGCACCGCAGCTCACACGCACCGCAGTCCAGCTACCACTCTGGCAACCCCGCCCGCCGCCCGCGCCTCACCTCCCTGGGGATCCACTCGTGCACCACACACGCCAGCCCCACTCCCAGCTGGTCAAACTCGGCCTTGCGCGCCCACAGCTTCTGCGCCTCGTCACGACACAGCACTGCAACGTGAGGGGTCGGGGCGGGGCGGAGTGCGGTTTGTTTGGGCAACCCAAGGCAGGGCAAAGGCGTGCGCAGGGCTTTAAAGTGTGTGTTGCCACAAGCCCACGAGGCAAACTACCGGTGTCAGATTGAAACCAATTAATGAGGTCCATGCCGTCATCAGGCTATCGGTAGCGCAGCGGTAAGTGCCCATGCCGTCCGTCACTGCAAAACCGACGACGACCATACGCCTACCGCATCCTGGGCGTCGCAAGATTAGCACCGCGAGCGGCTGGGACTGCCATAGAGTGTTGGCGAGCACCTCAGCGCCCTCCTTCGTCCGGAGCACAGCGCCAGCGATTGTGGAAATCGCTGGTAGGGCTTTGCTTGCAGCCATGGCAGACCGCCTAGGCCAAGGAAGGCAGTCGCTACCAAAAGAGTGGCGCTGGTGCTGCGAATACACCTACCTGTGGCTACAATTTGCGTTCGTGCGACGCTTCCGTTGGGCGAAAACCTGGGAGGAATCCTAAATATATTGTAGGTACTTAATAAGGTTATCGCATATAACGTCAAACATATCTGCAGGTCCTGGTGGTGTGGATTGGCTCATATGTTTGGCTGAAACAAAGGGTTCGGAGCGGAAACAGTTGACCGAAGCAGTCGTTTGTAAGCATGTTTGCTGCCGACTTCGGCACACAAAGCTTCTAATGGAATTAACTTGCACCAATTGTCCTCACGCTGCCTCTATTCGGGCTATCTTCCCGACAAACTGTTGCAATTGCTCAAGTCACACCTATCTGCTCTCTCAAATTGAGACCGCTGTAAGTTCAAGACCAACACCTTCAGCTCATATGCAACTAGCGTAGCTCCCGATCAACTAAGATGGACGAGGGGGAGGCAAGCGCGCTGCCGCAGAGGCACAATGCCCGACGACGAATGCGACAGCAGCAGCAGGAGAGGGCGGAGGAGCCAGACGAGGCTGGCACTTCATATGGCGCACACGCACCCAACGCCGGTGCTGGTGGCAGTCAGGGCGGCCCGGCGGACGTCAAAGGGCCATCGTACGGCGGTGACGAGGACAAGGACGATGAAGGTGGCAGTGGTGGTTTCGGTAACCCTGACGAGTATGGCTTTAAAGGAGCAGGTTGCGAGGCAGCATACGTTCAGGGAGGCGGGACGGACGACGGCGACGGCGATGGTGAGGAGCAGCGGCGGCGGCGTCCCAGGTCTGATGATGGCGACCTACCCGCCTATCGCTCTGCAGCCGTAGGAAACTTCAAGTTTGAGTGTAAGTAATGTTCGCATGGGGGGGCGGCGTAGGCAGCGTGGGTGGGTAAGTACGCTGGTCGGGCGGTAAGTGCCTGCCCAGTCAGCGGAGGCAAGAGAAGGGTAATTTACTGAAGCTCCATGGCATCTGCTTAACTGCTGTCCTGCGTAATGCGCATGAAGCCAAGTGCAGCTCCATAACGACTGACGTATGTGTTCTTGCGTTGCCGCGCCGTTCCGTTGTGCACACTCAGTTTCCGCAGCATGCCTGGTTTTGCCCATTCGCCGCCCGGTTCTCCCTCTTTGCACACCTCTTGGGCAGCTTTCAACTTTGTGTGACTGAGGGAGTTGCACGGCGCTGCCATTACCCTTTCCTGACAGATCTGGATCACACGGCGGATGTGCAGCTGCACGCATGTAAGCCGTGTATGGCGTTGGGGCGCGAGTTGTCTCATACGGCGAGGCTTGCAGACCGCTGGAAGAAAAGTTGTCTGCACGTTTGTCAATAGAGCAATGTGATCAAGCTTCCACAGCACAGTGACGCACGCTATCTCTTCAACCGCACCTTCCGATGCTGCGTCTCAGGGGGCGCTGACCTGAAGGAGGCGTTCGAGCAGTGCGCCCTGGCCATGTTTAACTACATGTCGCCAATAAAGCATGTACGGCTGCAGGAGAGCAGGTGCGCTGCCGTACCCGTAGCTGCTCATGTGCACAAAGGCACGGCGACGGAGATGTCTTCGTGCTGATACACCCATGTCAACCGTCATACCAAGACCAGTATGCGTATGAGTGAGCGGCAAATGCAGCTTCGAGTACCGTACCCACATTGGTCAACCCAACCCACCCGCGCAGGACGTACCGCATGGAGGGTCACGACCTGCCCTCCCTGCTGTACGCCTTCCTGGACGAGCTGCTGTTCGTGTTCGCCACGGAGCTGTTCCTGGCTGCCTCCGTGCGCATCACGTCCTTCGACCGGGAGTCCTTCGTCATCGAGGCAGAGGGGTGCGTACCGCAGTACAAGGTTGTTACAGCGGTACAACGTGCTTGCTGTACCGATATCTACTTATCTGCAGAAAAGGCATGGGTGCCTGGCATGCGCAGGCAATGGAGCTGGTGTGAAAGACGTGGCCTTCCTTAACCACTGCATGTGGGTATGTCCCCCAACCCTGTAGGTTTGGGGAGACCTTTGACCGCACCGTACACGAGGTTGGGACGGAGATCAAGGCGATCACGTACAGCGCTATGTCAATCGGAGAGCGAGAGGGAGATGCAGAGATCTTCGTCATTGTGGACATCTAGGCAGCCACCTGGCTGTGACACCTAATGCTGTGGTGTTAATGTAGATGGCGTCTTTTGTTAATGCAAGCCATGTTTCATCCTCAAGCGAAAATGGCAAGCGTGTGCAGGGTTGCCACAATGGCGTGCGGATTAGCACGAACTGTAAATGATGATTCATGACCATCTAGTCGGTTCCACAGTGTTATGCTGTACAGCCTGTACATATTTCTGGCTGGTGATACCTCTTGCGCAACTTGTTGACAATGTGCATACTTGCAATTTTGACCATGTGCGAAAAGGACACACAAAATGGTTGGCTAGGCATTACAGAGTCGACAGCTGAAGCTACTCCAAGTCATGTTCCGTCATTTAGTCAAGTCCTGTATTATATGCCATCTACAAACTACGTCAAGTCAGCGGGCGGCCGGCAGCTCGCGCGCATCAGCGGTACAGACCTGCCAATGCGGAGTAGCATATGCACATGCAACGCCAAGAGCATACCCTACTTTTGAAGTAACATCACTGCCGCCCCACAGCCTAAGTAAACATACCTCCTCTCAAGTCGCAAACCTACGCCTTCACCAGCAAAACTAGAGGCCTGAGTCAAAACCATCAGAAACCCCACCAACACTCTTGGGACCTTACGAGAACCAACGATACATCACATCACTCGTCGCCACCGCCGCAACTACAGTCGCAGCTAGGCGCCCAAGCTAGTGGTGCATTTACTTGTGGGTGACGGACACCACCTTGCCGAGCATGACGGCGGTGTTGCCGTCCAGGAAGGCAATGCGGGACAGACCCTCGCAGTTCTTGAACGAGTCCACAATCAGGGGCTGGGTGGGCTCGAAGACGACCTGGGCCATCTCGTTGGCCTTCAGGCCGACGGGGGCCTCCATCTTCTTGCCGCCGGTCTCCTTGCCGACCTTCCAGTCGATGTTGGAGATGCGGCAGGCGGAGCGGCCGCAGCGCACGAAGCCGATGGGGGAGTAGCCCTTCTTGACCTCGCCGGGGATATCCAGGGTCTGGATCTGGGCGGTGAAGTCCTTCACGATCTTCAGGGATCCGTCGGACTTCAGGATCATCACATCGCCGGTGCGGGGCATGTTGCCCTTGTCCAGACCCTGTGGATGGCAGATGTGGACGGAGGTATTGATTAGGGAAAGTGGTCTACAGCAGCAGCAACAAAGCTTAACGTTTAACAAGCCAGCTAAAAGCACAAACTGCCCAGCCACCCACCTTGATGTTCATGCCGACGTTGTCGCCGGGGCCGGCCTTGTCCACACGCTTGTGGTGCATCTCCACGGTGAACACCTTGCCGGTGCAGGGGTTGGCGGTGGTGTGGGTGGGCAGGAAGATCACCTCATCACCGGGCTTGACAACACCCTGCTCGACACGGCCGGCCAGCACATCACCGACACCCTTAATCTTGTAGGCGCCGGAGATGGGCAGGCGCAGGGGGGCATCGGTCTTGCGCTCGGGGACGGTGACGAAGGAGTTCAGGGCGTCCAGCAGGGTGTGCACCTGCACCTTCTCGTTCTTCAGGTTCAGCACCTCCTGGCCGGTGTACCAGGGCATGTTGGTGGACTGCAGGGGCAGAGAAATGGTGGGGGCGTCCGATGTCAGTCAATAGTGCATGTGATGTCCTACAGTGGCTAACAGAAGCAGCTTGAACATGCAGAAAAGGGAGTGACCCACATACATGACGCAACTTTGTTACAGTCAAGCCCAGCAAGCAGCAGCCCAGAGGCCCCACCTTGCTGATCAGGTTGTCGCCGAGCCAGCCAGAGATGGGCAGGATGGGCACGGACTTGTTGACGAAGTCGTCCTTCCAGCCGACGCGCACAAGCATGTGGCGCATCTCGTTGGCAATCTCATCGTAGCGCTCCTTCTTGTAGCCGGCGGTATCGGAGTCCATCTTGTTCACGCCAACAATCAGCTGGCGGACACCCAGCAGGTTGATCAGACGGGCGTGCTGGCGGGTCTGGCCCTGGATCTCACCGGCCTGCAGCCATGGAGGGTACGTGGTTGTTTAGTCATATGTGGGTTGTAGGTTGCTGATTGTAGGCTGTCGTCATACCGGACAGTGGTGTGCGGATAAGGTCAACAGCATGTTGACACAGTCAACGAGCGAGGAGAGTAGGGGAGGTTAAGGGTAAAGCAATCCTCACCTTGTGGTCACCCTTCTGGATGGCGGTGGTGAAGTTACCATCGGCGGGCACCATCAGCAGGCACACATCGGCCTGGGCGGCACCGGAAATCATGTTCTTGATGAAGTCGCGGTGACCTGTGCGGGACATATGAATTGGGTTCGTCAGGGATGGTACATAGGGAGTGAGTGTGAGGGTAGCAAGGGGGAAGCGTTTGACATACTCCAATGCGTTGGGAAGCCATGGTAATTTGATGCGCACATTCTCAGGAAGTGGGTTTTCAGAAAGCACAAACAAAGAAGCTTTAGACTTACCGGGGGCATCGATGATGGTGTAGTGCCACTTCTCGGTGAAGAACTCCTTGGTGGTGCAGGCAATGGTCACACCACGCTCGCGCTCCTCCTTAGCGCGGTCCATGTAGAAGGCGAAGGCGAACGAGGACTTGCCCAGGGCAGCGGCCTCCTCCTTCAGCTTCTCCAGCTCACGCTCGGGGATACCGCCGAGCTCGAAGAGCAGGCGACCAGTGGTGGTCGACTTGCCGGAGTCGACATGGCCGCAGCTGCGCGCAGATCGGTTTCACAGTTCAGCAAAAGCGCTCAAACCAGCAGACCGGAGAACGCTCGTAACTCACATGACAATGGAAAGATGCTCCTTGCCCTCAGACATCTTTGCTGGTCCTGTGGGACACGGGTCAGTGGAGAGGATAGAAACTTTCAGATAAAAGAAGCGAAGCGGCGCATATGTTCATGATCACAACAAACAAAATAGACACGTTGGGCTCTGGAGCGTTAAGACTGAAGGCCAGGAAGGAAAATCCCCGAAGAATGGTTATTAGTCGCCGCCAGTTAATACGCGCCCGGCGGCTATTGTTGTGCTTAGAATTGCGTAGAAGACAGCTGTAATTTCAGGGCAGAAAGCTAGGGCATCCAATAGAGGGAAGGCTGCCGCCAGGCTACGATCCAGAGTGCAGGTTGCAGCCGCTAGCATATGCTTCTACTACAGGCTGCAAGCTGCCGAGCCCATCTCCGCAGCAACCAAGATTGTAGAAGACATGAGATGTATCTGCCATATTGTAAGAGAGTCGCCGCCAACGGACGCACCTCGAGATCAGCTGGAGAAGGATGGAACTTGAGCTAAACGAAGGTCCACAGGTGGGACTTCGGCTGCTTCCAAAGTGAGGGTTGGAATGAGATGGGTTGCAGCGTAAAATACCGCCAACCGGAGCGGCGTAAGGTCCCCTGGAGCTCCCGTACAAATTGAACATCATCATCTTTTCAGCTTCCCTGTTTCCACCAGACAAACAGACATGCTCTATTACCCATATTACCCATAAAAGTCTATGCCACATCAGCTTGCAACCAGGCGGCAAATACGCGATGCAAGGCAGGCAGCGCCATGCGTTGTTGGAGCCTTCATCACGAACAGCTTCATCTCCTAAACAAATCTATGTTGTCATTGCTTCTATGCTAAAATAAACAGCTTAGCTCCAGACTATACGCAATTTTGGGCAACCTGCACCTGGCTACCCGCCATTCATCTGTACATACTCATACGCATCTGTATACGACTAGTCCACCTATCATACTATGCAGCTGTTTAGTCGTCTAGCACCTCCAAACTAGCCAAATACTGTAATCCCCCAATCATGGCTATCCCGGCGCTAGGGGTCCTGGGGTATCCCCCGACGTGGGGTCCTGGGGTATCCCCCGACGTGGGGTCCTGGGGTATCCCCCAGCGTAGATGACCCACGAATGAACGTATCACTCCTTGTCCTTATCGGCTTTAACAAGTTGATTTACGAAGGCCTGCATGGCAGGGAAGGACTGGAGCTTAGGGCATGGTCCTGTATCATACGTCAGACGTGTTTGCACAGGAATGGGCTACATGACCCTCGGGGCTAGCCGTCCATAACACATCCACATTGTTGCGCTCAATTGTACCAAGGCGGCGTAGTAGCTACCCAGAAACTGTGGACGAACTCTGAACGCACCCGAGGGTTACGAAGTAAGCGTGCGGCCTCCTTGGCAGATGGCAGCTCCGCACGGTCCGTAGAGAAGAAACCCTGCTCCTTGAGGACGTAGAACCCCGCCACTCCCAAGACGCCGGTTAACACAGTGCTTAGAGCGAGTGTACGTGCCTGGGTATGGCAGATGGTGGGAAGGGCTGGGTTGTGAGCTATTCACAGACAGATACCTAGGCCAGCCACCATAGGAAAGTAGAAGCTAGCTTCCTTACCGCAAGGGGAATAACGCGCAGCCGGCTGCTGGGATTGATACCGTCTTCAGCCAAGCTGCGGATATCAAGACATCAAGGTCTGCTTAGTAAGGGTTACAGCTTCCATCCATATCAAGTATAAAGGACCTACTCTTTTGTCCCAGCTCGATAGGTAAGCGTAGCTGTTACCAAAGCTCCTGTAGACAGTACATCGCAGGGTAACATCGGCTCTAGTGGCTCCGGTGTCCACAAAGAACGGTAACAGGAAATGCTTACCAGCGCAAACGATAGCACTACCGGCCGCTACAACGTGAAAAGGTTCGATAACGCTCTTCTCTGCGTCAGTGTCGGCTTTTGACATTGTTCAAGAAGAGCGCAATCATGCAATAATAACGGCAGGTATAACCTAATCAAACAAACTATACTGGTATAAGTGTTGCAAATTGTTGCGCAGCTTGCTATGATTTTATACGGGAACCACGGGTCTTACAACACGGCAGATTACGGACGCGTCTTTGGCCAAATGGGCCGCAGCATGCACGTCGTGTGCTGTTCAGCCTATGGTTTTGCTCACACGATAAGGATAAATATAAGCGGTCGCCTTTGCGTTTGGTACATTGCGCGTTCTTACTGCTCGCGTGTCTTCAGCGATTTCCAGCGGAATGCCTTCATACAAAACTGCATGCATTTGCACTATTGGTCACAGTTCAACGCACACCTCCTGAATCGAACTGGTAGCAGGCAATGTGGAGGTTTCAGGGGAACGCAGGTGTGACAGGCGAAACTATTTTGCTTGAGTGCTGCTTATCGAGTGACAGCGGCTTGTCAGTCGCTGGTTTGCTAGGTCAGCGATCCTTCACACTCAGGTTTCATCACAGGGGGCGCATAACTGCCCTAGAATCCAAGACTGCATACGGCCCTTTGCCGACTCGCGGGCTTCTCGACTAGGGGATCTGAGCCACACACCCATTGACGCAGCTTGCTGCGAGTTAAGCAAACAACTTATTAGTACATCAGCATTTCGTGGTGGGCAAGCAGTAACACGGGGATTGCACCACGAAGTCCCGCGTTACCTAACGTGGTGCTGGGTGGAGATCTTAATCCAAATATGGGTACGTCCTTGTGTTGTCTGCATGGAATGTCAAACGTTAGTGTTGCAGTCAGCGGCAACACTTTTGTCATATGTTGTGTTGTTGTCCCGCCGGGTCCAAGGACCGGCCAACTTCTTCGCACGACAACGCACGTACTTGCCTTCGCCACGCAGTGGTTAGAGCCAAACGCAGCGAAGCACGCCTATGTTCCCATCGCAATAAGCTGCAAGTATTTTCTCTCTGTGCGCTGTTGCATCCACAATTAAACAGGTCGACGCCTACAAGTGGTTTCCCAATTGCCCGTCGCATCCCTTCAGACGGCGTCGATCGCTGATTTACCGCACGTCCAGCAAGTCGCTGGGCCCCTGAACAAGGCAAGCCGCCTCAACGAGATAAGCCACCTTAACGACCCACGCCAACCAGATTCCACGTGCAAACGTCATCACGGCGGTGTCGCAAGCGCTGCAATCTCGGTCACCTCAAGCAGCAGCCTTTCTCCTTCTGAAACAAAAGGCACACACATACTGTCATCTTCAGCTTCTCTTTCTGAGAATTTCATCCCTGTAAGCGGCGCAAGTCAGACAGGCGACTGCGTCCCAAAGGCTCCTGATCAGCTCCTTGATCCGCAGCTACAGCTGACAGCAACCGTTCAGGCTCGCAGCATGTACGTCAAACCCGCTGCCGCTCTCCAAGCAGGCGGAGGCGCTACAGCTGGCAGCAACCCCGCTGCCGTACAGCCACAAGGTTCACCCGCCACACCAGGCCTCCGCAACAACCACAACAGCAGCAGCACCAACGGCAGCTTGCAGCCAACGTCGCCGCCACAACTGCCAAAGGATGGCGCTGCTCTTGTCAAGGCAGATGGCGTGGTGGGTGGAACTGGCACCAACGGCGGGGTGCGGGAGCGGCAGTCGACTGGAGCGCTGGTGGCTGAGGACGTAGCGCCGCCACCGCCGCCGTCGTCGCGGCGCAAGAAGCCGGGGAAGCTGCGGAAGGCGTGGGCTCGCTTCAAGCGTGTCGCTACCTGCTCCAGCGTTGGCACGTTCGGTGAGTTTGACAAACGGCTTCCGGTGACTCATCCTGTGGTTTCAGGCAACAAAACACCGGCGGGACTGAGGCATCCATACCCACCCCCGCGTTCGTACCACGCCACGCGTGTTTTCTCATACTTCGCTTCCGCGCTTTCCTCCCTCCCTCGTGCGTCCGCCCAGATCCCCCGATGCATGGAGTCCCCCTGGAGGCTGGAGAAGCCGTCATCGCCACCAAGGGCGCGGCTCCAGGCCCTCGAGGAGCTGCCGCCGGTGCCGTCTCGGGTGCCGAGCAGGTGCAAGCACGTGAGTCGTCTTCGGGTTCAGAAGGTAGCCGACAGCAACATACCGGCTACCTGTCCGCACCCAGGCGGTGGGGTGCAGGTGGGGACGGCTGAAGCAGTGGGAAAACTAGGAAAGACGTGTACCATGAGCACGACACATGGTGTTTGCCATGCGTTACATGTGTCGTGCATGCGTGCCGACTGACCATGCACAACATGCGACAGGAGAGCAACTAACCTACTGTCCAGAGCTTAACCTTTACTGTCCATGACCCATGGGTCGGCCACGCTTCCCATCATACTTTCACGCCGGCGCCACTCGACGCCCTCATCTGCCTTTGCAACCACTTACCTCCTTGAGCAACCGAAGACACACACCGCATGCTTGCCAACCCATCTTCCGCTTCTTCGCTTCCTCGCAGGCTCCCGCGGGGTTGCTGCTGCGGCGGGTGCGCCCTCCATCGCCTCGGACGCCAACGCCAGCTCCGCCGCAGCAACCGCCGGCAGCAGCGTCCGCTTGCCCGACCCCAACGCCTCCGGGAGCTACGCCATGTACGACAACCATGCGGCTGAGCACGCCGGCGGCGCCGTGAAGTCCGGTGCGGGCGCGGGTTTGGGCGGAGACTCCAGCCATGCTAAAGCCCGCGGCAACAACGCCCTCGCCGCAGAGCCCGCCGGTGCGGTTGTGTCGCCAGTGCCGGCAGCGACGCCAGCGGGGCTGGGCGGTTCGGCGGTGCAGCGGGTGCCCGTGGAGCGCACCCGTGACAGCCTGTGCAGCATGGGTGAGCGCTTGGTGGGAGGGGTGGGATAGGGGAGGGGCTGACGTGGCAGCTGCGCTGTTGCATGCACACTTGAAGCTAGAGCTACGCTGCATCGCAGCGTGTGCAGTACCGGTGTGGTTTCCTCTGCGTCGCACGGCTTCGGCTGTGTGGCATTCTCCATTAGACCATGACCCGCTTTCCGTTTACCGGTCGGATCTTCGTCGCACCTTGTCCTTCGCAACTTCTACTTCTTACACCTCAAAATACGACTCTCTTCTCCAGCATGATGCGTCTCGCCACGTCCTTTCCCAACGCAAAGCCCCTTTCACCTAACAGCCTTAAGCTGTTCCTGCCGCTCTTCTTTACCCCATATGGCCTGTGCAGGCAGCGCAGAGGACGACTGGTACGACGCCCGCAGCGTGGCCTCCACCTTCTCCATCATGTCCTCCCACGCCTCCGCCGCCGCGGCAGCCGACGAGGAGCACCACCAGGGCCCCCCGATGCCCTTCCTGCTGCGCTCCGCAGCTGACGGCAGCAGCGGTACGGCAGGATCCGCCAGGCACCTGGTCGAGGGGCAGTTCCTACCCAAGCCACCGCTGCCGCCGACGCAGCCGCCTCCGCCACAGCCGCAGCAAGTGGTTCTGGCGCTGCAGCCCGCCACGCCGCCGCTACCGCAGCGGCAGGGTCCGCCGGCGGCGGCGACGGCGACGCCGGCTGTGTCGTCCAGCGACAACAATCTCACGGGGCAGTTCAGCACCCCAGTGCTGGCGGCGCCGCACCGTACGGGCTCCGCCGCCATCGCCGGCATGAGCCCCATCCACTCCGGCGGCACCGACGGCGGGGCCGCCGTCGCCGCCGACGACGGCGAAGGA